TTCCCCCCACAGACGCCAGAGGGAACGGCTCGAGTGGCCTCTGGATTTGTGTTAAGGGCACCCTCGAGATTTCAGAAAAGCAGGTAGACGCATCGCACCTGGCCGGTGGGCCAGATGGAGTCTCTCCATCTGGAAACAAAGTCTGCGGAGGACAGGAAAGGGACGCGCAGAACACGAAGTCTCGGGTGCCGGGCTGCGGGTGACATCGCCCCCAGCTCTAACGGCCACGGGCCCCGACAGGGAAGCGAACCCCATGATGTCGACAGCACCGAGAAACACAGAGAGGGAGTCGGCACCCCATGGGTGCACTGCAGGCTGCTCCAGGAGACAAAAGAGGCTGCCTTACCGTGTACAAGAGATGATCGATAACTAGACATCTTTCTGGTGGATTCTGCTAAAAACAAAGAACTAACACCAATCATTCTCAAATTTTTCCAGATGACAGAACAGGAGGGAACAGTCCCTAACTCCTCCTGCGAGGCTGGACAGCACGGCCACAAGAGAGGGGGACGGCAGAGCCACACCCCTGGGCCAGAGAGGCACAAAAGTCCTCTGTTCGAAACGCAGGACAAACGCAGCCACAGAAGGGCCGTCCACGGCGACCCAGTGGGACCTCCCCCGTGAGTGCAGTGCTGGGGGAACACACAAAATCAACTCCTGGAACACGCCAGTCAGTGCAATGCAAACATACCATCACCTCCACAGACACAGCAAAACAATGTGGAAAAGGCACACAGCTCAGGACGACGACGCCCAGCAGACCAGGCGCAGAGGAGACCCGCCGGCGGCCATCTACACGCCCTCGTCCAGCACCACCCACGGCGGCGAGAGACCGAGCCCGTCCCCCCCCCCAACCCACACACTGCAGCCTGGGTGGGGCCTCTGGGCCCAGGACCTCCATGCCGCCTTGTCCAGGCCGCCCCAGCCAGAGCAGTCAGCCGAGAGAAGGACATGAAAACTATCTAGAATGAAAAAGGATAAATAAAAGCCCTACCCACTGGCATACGATGTGACTTTAACATCGTAAGTTCCAAAAATCCATTAAAAATAGCGAGCAAAGCGAATAAAACCGCTCGTCTGGGCCGCAGGACACAAGATCAGTGTAACAGAAATCAGCTGCATGTTTACGTAGTAGCAGGACACACTCCAAAATGGAATTAAGAAAACAATTCAATTTACAATAGCATCTAGAAGAATGAAATACTCAGGACTTAGTTTTTTAAAAAGATGGGCACGACTTGTACAGTGACAACCAGGAACCGTTGCTGCAGAAAATGAAATAAGATCTAAACAAGTGGAAAAATATCCCGTATTCGTGGAACGGAAAACACTGTCATTACAGCAGTAAAAACCCCAAAGCTGAATCAGAGATTCGATGCGATCAAAACCCCCAACTTCTTTTTCAGGCACAAAAACATTGCCTGCCCCCGAGACCCCCATGGAAATGCCAGGGCCCAAAGAGCCACAGCCGTCTCGAGAAGAAGGAAGTTGGGGACACTCCCGGGGCCGGCACTTGCAACAGGGACCAGCACTCGGCACTCGGAGTGTGGCAGGTGCCGAGAGACAGGCAGGCAGGGAGCGGGCGAGAACTGGGAGCCCGGAAGTGAGAGACCGAACGGTCTACCGGTTTCTACCAGCGGCTCCAGTGCCATCCGATGGAGGTGAAGAGTCGTCGTCCTGTGAACTGACGGGATGGAGCCACTGCTCGCGCACCAGGGAAGCACGCAGGCGGACAAATGCAGCCCCCGACTCACATCGCGTGGGCCGGCCCAAACGTTCGCTGGGTTTTTGCCATGAGAAGGATCCAGTAGCACTTAGTTGTCTTTAGCTCCATCTGAAACTATTTCGTTAGATTGTATTGTGACAGCTGTCATGTCAGCATGCATTTAAAAAAACTTATCAAAATTGGTGAATTTCTGTACAGCCATTTTAATATTGAGGATGGAAGAAAGTACGCATTTGTGGTGTGTTATGCTTTATTATTTCAAGAAAGGTAAAAACACAACTGAAATGTAAAAAAAAAGCAGATGGGTGCAGTGTATGGAGAAGGGGCTGTGACTGAAGGAATGTGTCAGAAGTGGTTTGCCAAGTTCCGTGCTGGAGATTCCTCGCTGGACGATGCCCCACGGTCCAGAAGACCAACTGGAGTGGACGGCAGTCAAACTGAGACACTAGTTGAGAACAATCAGTGTGACGCCACATCAGAGACAGCTGACACACTCTAAATGTCCAAATGAATAACATTATTGGTAAAAATGAAAAATGTGTCCTTTATTTTATGGAAAAAACATACGGTCTTTTTGGCTAAGCCAGTATTAATGCAAAAACCGAGACAGGTCAGCTAAGACTACGAAATTCTTGAAAGAAAACACGGAGGTAAATCTTCGTAACTGTGGCTTTGGCAAATGCGTCTCTGAATGACGCTCAAACCACAAGCACCCAAAAACCAGATAAACTGAACTGACCGAAATGGAAACTCCTGTGTGTTGAGGAACACCGTCAAGAAAGTGAGGACAGCCCACAAAAGGGGGAACTGGACGTCACCTACACGTCTGGTAAGCGTCTGGTGCTCAGAATATATGATAATCTATTAAAACCGAACAGTAAGTGTCAAAGAACCCAATTTAAAAATGGGCAAAGTACTCGGACAGAATGTCTCCCCCAAAACAGAGTTTCTCCCAGGCTCAGGGATGCACAGATGGCCGACCAACACGTCAGCCACCTTCAGCGTCGTTAATCATCAGGGAGACGCTCAGCAGAATCCTGAGGCACCGCGGTACAGCCCTGGGAGCAGCCCCAGGGAGCACGGGAGGTCACCAGGGCCGGCGGGCACTGGCTGGGCGGAGGTGTCGGGCCTTTCACGTTGCGCGTGAAGTCTGGACGAACGCAGCACATGGAAGAGTCTGGCAGGCGCTCCCACAGCTGGAGACCTAATTGCTGTGTGACGCGGAGACCCACTGCCGGGCCTGTGCTCGCACGGCAGGGCTGGGAAGATGTTCAGAGACGACTGGTCCACGAATCCCACAGCAGCACCTTCCGTGTGGCCCAAGCGTGGGAACCGCCCCAAGTCCATCAGCAGACGGGCAAGCTGAGGGTGGCCTCTCCAAGCCGCGAAGCAGTTCCGAGCTGGGAGCAGGAGGGAGGCACCGGCCGTGCTACAGGGTGGACGGGCCTTGGAACCCTCGTTCTCAGAGGCAGGTGCCAGGCCCCAGCGGACACAGGTTGTGAAATGCCACACCCACGCGGCGGCTGGAACAGGTGAGGCTGTGGACGTGGGGTGGGTTCGTCTGCCTGGGGCAGGGGTGCGGGGTGGGGGGGTCTGCCTGCCAGCAGGCGGGGGTTTCTTGGGGAGGGGGGTGCCATCGTTTTGGGACAGACAGGGGGCAGGACTGCACGACATACAAGTGCGCTCAAGCCAAAGGCACTGCAGTAAAAGATGGTGAATTTTAAGTCACGGAAACGATGTTTCAGTAAAAAGATCTAATAAACGTGCATTCTGAAACATTTGCAGATGAATTCCCAGCTGGGATTTGCTCCCACAGGACCTGCAGGTACGGGCTGGGTGGGGCAGAAGCAGGGGGTCGTCAGGGTTCGCCTCTGGACACACTGGGGAGTTTGCTTACGATTATCTTTGCAAGAACGACCAAGTAAACCCTTATGAAAAGGGCGGCTGAGGTGTAGTTATTATAAACCTACATAATCAAAATTGGTGGACTCTGCTGAAATGGAAAATAATGTTAAGAAGCCGACCCAAGATATTACACAAAGGACCTGGCATTTCAGATTATTGAGGGAAAAATGGGGTGTCTGCTCATCCTTTGAGAGAAACACAAATGGGTAAAAGCCTTACCTAGTACCTTATGCACAGATGAACTGCACACGGATATTTTAAATAAGATTAAAAATACATTTATATTTACATAATGTGTTCTAAACAAAACTAGAAAACTATCAGTGAACATATAATCTTAGAAGTTCTCCTAAATCTAATTAATTAAAAAAAACAGATTTTTTTAAATATCAGAAACACAAAAATTATTGTTAACATATGGAAAGGGGCTGACACCCAAGTTAAAAGTGTCTCTAAGGAAAAAAAACTTAAAGGGAGAATAAATAATCCACAAAAAAGTGAAATACCAAAGTCCAAGACACTAAGCACGGTCCCTTCTCCTGCCACCTGGCATCCGAACCCCCGTGCTCTGGGGCGCCCCTCCGTGAGCCACAAAGGCAAACGGAGGTGATGCCCCCCACCCCCCGGGCGCCCCCTCCACCGCTCGGGAGCCGCCTGCAGTCTCGGCAACAACTGTTTTAGCGTGAGAGTCTTCCCTGTTCGATGTAGACAAGGTTTTCTCCCGCCCTGTTAGAAGGTACACCGATACGAGTTGACCCAAACTTTTTAGAGAAAACTGGGCAATGTTTATCAAAAGCTGTCAGGAAGTGAGGACACTCACTCACAATGACACTTCCGAAACTCACCACAGAAGTGACCCCAAAGGCACAGAAAGTGTGTCCCCATGGACAGCTGTCACAGCGCGGTGAGCACCAGCCACCTGACCAGACGAGTCCTACACGCGGCAACCAAGTGCTGGCCAGGTCCATCACGGGCCGGACACCAAACTCCTCGGCGTGACCCGCCGGACTCAAACAGCACCTGCAGTGGCATGCGGTTTTCCACACACGTTCAGGGGAAACCGAGTTTCTGTGCACACGCGCTCACAATGGTGGCCTCTGCATGTGGGAAGAAGCTAAGGACCAAGGGCTGGTGTTTTTCTCCTTCCATTTATTTGCTTTGTCTTGTTTGTGTTTATTTTCTACTTTCTAAAATGGTGTATGTTGTTTCTTTATGCTCTGGCTCGTGTGGCTCCGTCGACTGAGCACGGGCCTGTGAACCAAAGGGTCGCCAGTTCAAGTTCCAGGCAGGGCACATGCCCAGGTTGTGGGTCAGGTCCCCAGTGAGGGGCAACAAGAGGCAACCACACATTGATGTTTCTCTCCTTCTTTCTCCCTCCCTTCCTCTCTCTAAAAACAAATAAATCTTTAAAAAATAAGTAAAATGGTATATATTGTTTGTTTAAAATATATATCGAGCATCTAGAAATATCATCCCTTAAGTTAAAAGACAATTCCGACACATTGCGTGTCTGCCTCTTAAACCCCCCATTCAATGGCTGCACATTCTACAGCTTGTGCCGAGACAGAGACTTTTTCTCATGGCCAAACCGCGCTCGTTAAGTCAGAAGTGTGATCCACTTTCTAATTCGGCTCCAGCTTCTCTTTGGGGAGTCGGTGAGAGAGGCGAGCTTTGGACCAGGCTCGCTGGAGTGAGTCACCGCGTTTGAGATTCCACTCGGCAACTGCTGAGGAGACGCAGCAGAGCCCGCGCGGCTCTCCCGGGGACGGTGCTATGTGGCTCTCCGCTGTGCTCCCCGGCTGTCTCTGTGCCGGGCCCGCCCTCGAGCTGACAGCCAGCTGCCGTGTCCGCCACGCACGCCCTCCCGGCGTTGCGCAACTCTGGACCGATGGGACACGTGCGTGGAGAGCGAGCTGATTTCGACACGACTTCTTCAAGCTGAGCTTGTAAATCACTTACAAAGCAGCCGAGCAGAACAAAATCACCGCCAACCGCCACATTCCTCTGCCATGACCACAGTGTGCGGGGCCGGAGGCCCTGCCAGGCCATCCGGAACAAATCCCTTCCCCGCGCCAGAAGTTAGCTCAACGACCATTAGAGGGAACACGAACCATCTTCCGTGGCCACGACTCCAGCACTGCAGCACACGCAGCTGCACGTGTGCCACAGGCAGCACGGGCGGCTGTCACGGCGACGGTGCGTGAGCTGCCGTGGAGACCCCCGGCCGCCCAGCAGGAGCACAGCCGCAGCCCAAGGGGCCCAGTCCAGTCCCTGCCTTTCCCTGTTTACCAGGAGGGAGAACGACAGTCCCACGCGCTGTCAGGAAGGGCGGGAAGTGCAAGCCCGACGCCGGTCAGCGGCACTCGCGTCACCTCCTGCGGTCCTGCTCCGCTTCATCCACGCGGCCGACATCCCTGTCCAGCCTCCGCAGTGGACACACGTGTTTTCTCACAGTCAAGCGCCTTTTGGAAGTTCTCCGAGTGCAAAGGAGCCCAGGCACCCCCGGGGGGCGAGGGGCGGCGCAGAGAAGCAGGTCTCCTTCCCTCTGCCCCGCCCCTCCCCACACCCGGCCCATTTCTCACTCACATTTCTGATCAAATGACAATTTAACACTATTGCCAACACTTCAGCACCGCACGCCAAGGGCCGCAGTGACAATCACAGTCGAGCAGGCGGAGCAGGTTCTCTTCACTGCTTGTTCACCGAGGCTCAGGGAGCTGCGTCCCCGGCGCCGACGCATCGCACAGGGGCGACCGGAATTACACCAGCCATCTTTTGAGGCACTTCCCTTCACTGTCAAGCAATTGTGTGAGAATGGACCAGGTGTGTCCGTCAGTGACTGTGGCTGGAATCAAGGCTCATGGAAATCACGGAGGCCATGTGGACAGCGCCTCCTCGGGGGCGGCTGGCAGCTGGGCAGGAGGCTGGTGGGAGGGCACTCAGGCGGGCGGGCCGCAGACCCTCACTTGTGACACCAGGGTCTCAGCTCACCGGGCCGCCGGGTGATGCCAGAGGACAGAGGCCACAGGCGGCGGATGCACAATGAGGGAGCTCGTGGGGACACAGCAGATGCCGCAGAGGGCCCGGCGATCACTGCAGTCTCAGCAGAGCAGGCGCTGGCCATCCAGCCTCCCGCAGTCCAGAGCGCAGCTGGTGGGGAGAGTCACAGACTCGGGGATGGACGACACTGAGTCCGCAAAACACAAGAGGAGCGGGGCCAAGACGGCGGCAACCCAACCTCGCCGTGGGCAGTGGTGGGTGCGCGCAGGGCTGAGAGGAGCGGGTGTCTGTCAGCAGCACTGACCCTGGGCACGTCGGGCGCCTGGACTGGACAAAGCCTGGCCAGCTCTCCGAGGCTCTTTTCCACGGAAAGTGTCAGGTGTGATTTGGTCACAGTGTATTCAGCAGCAAGATGGAAACTCAAGGAAAACTGCTCAAATAGATGTGGTGGCAACAATCTCCTTCCATTAAGTTCAATCAAAATAGATTTTTCCCTGTATTTTAAAATTTAAAATCCTGACCACGAGAAGAATATCGTATTTTCCAAGTTCTCAGGGTGCCCCGGTGTTGTGACCCCTCAACACACCTCGGAAGGAACACAGAGGAGTCCTCTGTGCCGCCGGGGGTGGGCAGACGGGGGGAGGGCCCCAGGGGAGAGTCCCAGCTCCCTGAGCCCAGCAGCAGAGCGGCCGGAGCCCCGCCGGCAGGCCCCGGGACAAGGGGCAGAGTCTGTGGGGAGTCACTGCTGGGACCCCAGCTGCTCTGCAGCCCCTAGGCCCGCTTGTCCCGCTGCTGCACCAGGCGCTGCGGGGAGTCAGCTCCGTCCCCCTCCCCAGGGAGGTCTCGGGGCCCCACAAGCAGGGCCGGACAGCAGCCCGACGCCGAGCAACCAGTGGAGGTCCCAGTGCAGACAGGGAGTCCCACACCGCCCCACCACCCACCCGCAGCCCCCAGGGAGGACTCGGCTGGGGCTGCCGGCCCAGGTGCGGCCCTGACTGGCCTCTCCCAGTTTCTGGAACGTTGCCTGGGGCCCTGACACCAGCACCGTGAGATCCTGACATGTGGCGTTCATCTAACATTTTGAGGGGGTCGTCGAGTCTCGTCCACGCCGGGCCCTCCCCCAGACATTAGACACAGATCACACACACTCTCCGGCCATCGGACGGGCCCCTCCACGCGCGGCATGGACCTTCCCCAGGAAGCAGCAGCCTCAGGACTGGGGCGCGGCAGGACAGGACCCACACAGGGCCGCACCCCTGGTAGCTCTGGGGGTGCGCATCCTGCCCAGCAGGGGTTTCTTCTCTGCCAGGGAGATGCTCGTCTCACTCGGAGATCCGCACCCCTTCTCCGGTCAACCCAGCACACGGACATGGAGGCAGCCCCTCCACAGAGACCCTGCCAGGGCCCGGCGACCACCCCAGTTAACACATCGGCATCCCAGTCTCCCCAAGGAACCTGACACACTCGCGGCAGCGGGCAGACACCGATGACGGCCTTCTCTGGCCCGCAGCTCCGGACTCACGGGGACAGAGCGGAACCGAGACGCCCAGGTCCTCGCCGCGTAACACGCCTTACATCCTCTGCACAGAGTCTTCCTCTGCGCTCTGACGCGAGGCCACTCACCATCTGCAGGGCCGGCTTGCGGCCCATTCACGTTCTCTTCGCTTCTCCTACAGTGAAAGTTCCTGTGAACTTGTGCTCCTTCTCCCTCCAAATCCTTCCCACGAGAATTTTCAAAGTCCTGTCCTGACTCCCTCTGCGCTTCTCGTCCTGCGTCCGTCCCTTGGCGCCAACTGGTGCCGGTGCCGCCTGTCCGCTCCCGGACACCCCACAGTCCCCTGACTGCAGCTGAGCAGGTGTGCGTCGGCACGGAGCGACACACACTCTGTCAGACAAAGCCCTCTAGACTTTTCTGTCTCCCCAGGAAGGTCCATTTCCTGCGTTTGTGTCCACGCACACAATGGAAACTAGCACGAAACTTAAATGTTATGAAGGCTCACCCAAACGACGACCGACAGGTACAAGGTAAGTAAGACCCGCGGGCACGCAGAAAGGCCGTACCTGGGGGACAGACGGGCTGAAGGCCACCGTGGTGACGGTGTCTGTGTGTCCTGACAGTCGGTGGGAGAAGGTGCTGGAGCCCATCTCGTACACGTACGCCTGGAAGACAGAACCAGCAGGCATCCTGTGTTGGGAAAGTCAACAGCCCTGTTACACAGAGACCGAGTCTGCCGGGTGCCCGTGAACTGCCGCAGCAGCCCCTCGTGTATCGGACAGAACACGTACGTCACCAAAGTAGGTTTACAAACAAGGCGCTTCTCTTCCCTCCAGATTTTCACGTTAACAAACCTGTATTATACTCATTACCCTATCACAAGCCTCCACCATGCTGTGAGCAGTTTTAAACATTTGCTCACGACTGGTGATTAATTTTAAGGAAGGAGTAAGCTCTTATACTCCAGCCTCTCGACTGCTGGTCGTTGGTACCAACTCACCGCCAAGCATTCCCCAGCTTGGGATGCAGTGAAGGAAGCTTGACTCAGCGCGAACAGCTCAGTTGTGAGGCCGCACGGTTCTGCCGCAGCCCAGGTGTTGCAGCTCAGCCCCCACCTGGCTACACAGCTCCGCTTGGGTTTTTTCAGCTCAGCCAGGAACAGGCAAACCCCAGCCTTCAGTGAAAAGGGAGACCCTGCTCCCAAAACCTGGAGGACCACTCCCCTATATATATGCACAGGAGCCCCGCCCCTGGTCCCTGATTGGTCTGTCCTCATGCAAATGAGGATGCCAAATCCTCAGTTTGATTGGCCCAAAAGGCACTGTCCTCATTGGTCATAATAGAGCCACTGGGATTGGTCAGAGCTGCACAGCTCCGATTGGATGGGGAAAGCCCCAGTCCTATTGGCTGAAACAGGATCCCAGGGGCTGTTCTCTAAGGGATCAGCGGCAGGAACAGTGCAGGTGGACGGCTCAGTGCATCTGCTCCCTGAGTGTGGGTTGTGTGAGGGGCCCAGTGCACCAACAGTTGCTAGGCTTTGTGTTTTATTTTTTATTTATTTTCAAAAAGATTTTACTTATTTTTAGAGAGAGGGGAAAGGATGGAGAGAGAGGGAGAGAAAAACATCCATGTGTGGCTGCCTCTCACGCACCCCCTACTGGGGCCCTAGCCCACAACCCAGGCATGTGTCCTGACTGGGAATCGAACTGGTAACCCTTTGGTTCACAGGCTGATGCTCAGTCCACTGAGCCACACCAGCCTGAGCTCAGACTAGATTTATTCATCTATTTTCTCCCCTTGCTGTGCGCCCTGCGATGTATACTTTCTACTGCCTTCACTCAAACTTGGTCTTGAGCTTTGAAAAGTGTTTTCTCTCGCTTTCCTAAATTTGTCTGTTTTCATCTCACACACTGTTGTCCAGCGATTTCACTTCCAAGCTCTCGTGTTTCTGCTTCGGCTGCTCTGTTAAAGTCTGTGTTTTCTTAGCTCAGCTCCCATGCAACTATACCGTGGGGCTTCATCGGAATGGAAGGCACACTTCTCTGGTGTGGTCTCATCGTCTGCGAGACGTTTTCTGGTTCATCCTCATCTTGTGTTGTGAAAAGGGCAGCCACACACGGAGCTCCTACGGCACTGTGGACTAGGGTGGACTAGAAACAGGACACACGGGAGGACACAGACGAAGTCAAACAGGCACTCCAGGGACACACTGGGACGGTGTCGGTGGGGCGCACAGGACATGCGTGTTTACATTCTGCAGTGTGACGCCACAGAACCAGCAGGCTGTGCAGAGCAGAAAGGAAGAGTGGTCGGCCGTGACTGGCCTCCCAGCCGCTGGTGAAACCTCCCGCTGCGACCGAGGGCATTTCCCTCGTCCTGGACTGCAGTGCGATTCTCTGGCTTCACATGCTCTGACGCTCTGTCTCGAGGGGCACACGGGTTCGGAGGAGGACACGTTCCGTGCAGACTGCCACCGCCGCGGTCCCCAGACGCCCCTCGTGACCACTGGCAACGCGTCGGGCCTTCGAGTGCACGGCACACCTCCGAGTCCGCACGCCGGCTTCATTGTCCGTCTTCCTGCTGCCGGTGTCTGTGCGTCTTCCCACTCCTGAGCTCAGTCGTCGTATTTCCAAGCTGCACTCGCATGTGCTGAATTAAGACACAGGGACCCCAAGTTTCAAGGAGATCCAGTGAGTACAGCGGGCTTGCGCTCGGCTTCTGAGAGAACAAGCCCGCACTCAGGCCGTCTCGGGGTTTCCTGGGTGACATCCAGGTGTGTCTGAGCGAACGAGGGTTGTGTATTCCACCTGAAACCAGGAAGGTACTGTACGTAATAAGACGTTACAAAAGACAATTTGATACATGGGTGGGTTGACTGGAATACATGGGTACGTGACTGGATGCAGAGAAACAAGTTAGAGGAAAAACCAAACTTTCCACATGTTTGTTGCTGTTCATGGTAGTGGTGATGTTGGCACAGTTTTTATTCAAAATCGCAAAAAGAGTAATAGCAAAATTTTTAAAAAGTATATCCAAGATGGTGGCAAATAGTTCATATTGTCAAATAAATGCTACTTATTTTAATATTTTAGGTTGCTTTAATAAATCGGCAAATCATTAATTAGCTGTAGGTAATCAATCTTGAGAATACACTGCTTCCTCTGAGAACACCTGCACCTCCTCAGGCAGAGATGAACTCCAGCGCCGGCCCAGCAGGTGACAGAGACGGCAAGAGAGCACAGATCGTTACGAGCTAGAAAAATTTCGAGTAACTTTTCCTATTTGAAAGTTTCATAAAACAGTTTTCAATATTCTTAAATTCGATTCTCATCAGTTAAACTGAATATTTCAGAAAGTAAATGTGACTCAAATTGTACGGTGATTATTTCCAAATAAACGTTATGATTTCCTTGAACTTTCGGAAATTTCTGCGAGTCTTTTTGGTTTACACGACAAATGGCTCTCTAAGTCAGTGTCTGTCCCCGACCTGTCGGAAGGTGCGCGTTACTTCGTTGCGTGTGCTGCTATCTGGTGAGGCAGAGAGAGCACGGCACGCGTCTGACACTCGGCAAGCAGCTCCTGCAGTGGAAAATGCAGGAGACAGGGACGAAGCAGCGGGTGGGGCCGGGGGTTCTGCACTTCGCTCAACACACCCCTGTGGCCTCTCATGGCGCACGTCGCTGTCGGTTAAGACACCGCTCGGGTGCGGCGGTCTCGAGACTCACACTCCCGTCTCAGCCAACGTGCACCAACACCCCTCCCCCTCCGGGGGCAGCGACGAGCACCTACGTGTCGGTCCTCGGCCCCGCTGGCCAGGAGCCGCCCACACGGGCTGAAGGCCAGGCCACACGGGTAGCAGCGGCTGGGGTGGCCTTCGAATCGGCGCTCGCACCTACGGGAAATAAAATGAAACGATTTCTTCGTTTTTAACACAAATCAGGATAAAAATACTGACCCATGGCTTTTCTTCAGAAAAATGGACAAACCAGTAAGATCGTTTTTCTATGTGAGGATATTGAACCCTCGGCAAGGATCTTTGAAAGTAATCAAAGGATTTCCAGAATCGCAATTTCTCAGAGGTCCAAGTGAAACGCTTTATATGTGAGGACTATTAAGTGATAAACATAGTGTTAAAAACATAAACTAACCTTTTAAAATCATAAATTATTTAAGTCAGTGATTCAGAAACTTTTGGGCGGTGCTACATTCTGCCAAGGCAGGGTAAGCTACACAGCCAACTACGTATGAAGTGCCGTGTCAGACGTTTGTGGTGAAAAGGCGGGCCCCACCCCGTGTGCGGCAGACCCTTCTCCGGGGGGCCCGCGTGAGCGGCGCGCCCAGCCTCGTCACGTCTGGGGGGCGACCAGACGCGCCTGCGGCCGTGAGAGCGCAGTGCTCCGTGCGGCCCACGGCAGCACGTGCCCCGCCCCCACCCTGGCTGCCACCCGCCGGGCAGGGCGGGCCTCACCTCAGGGTCCTCAGGTCCCACAGCCGGACCCCGTCACCCACGGCTGCCGTGGCGAAGAGGTTGTACGCCTGCGGCTGCTGGGTGGCAAAGGGCGATCCCTGCGGGGAAGCACAGGACAGGACGGCTGCGTGTGTGCCGACCCGCTCACGCTCGCCCGCCCCACTGCGGCCGCCGCACGGCTGGGTCTGGAGTGCGAAGCAAGGGGAAACTTCCTTCTCCTTTCCACCAGTTTCGTAACTGGACTCCCGACCCCCTCCCACGTGGACAGCTGCCGACGGCGTCCCACCCTGAGACTCGCCGACGCTCTCCGCCCCGAGGAGCAGAGAGGGGAGTAAAGACACGCCCGGGAGAGACCGCGGGACCGAGCTGTCGGTCTCCGCGGCTGACGGTCGAAGGCAGGTCACGATCCAGCCGGCAGTCTGCTGACGTGCGACCGGGCCCCGAGACCCCCGTGACGACCCGGGTGAGAGGCCGCAGGTGCCTCCTGGCGCTGACCCTGAGGGCACGGGCCCCGACTCCCCCGGCTGCGCAGGCCCACCGCCCCCCAGGCTGCGGCTGCTGCCACCAGAACACTGACTACACCTCGTGAGGGAGCTGACGGCACCACGTCCACACCGCCATGGGCTCGGAAACTGAACTCTCCCACGGTTCACGAGGATCTCCTTCCTTCCACGTGGAGAATGCCCGCAACATCCGGGCAGACACAACGAAGTCTGCCCGTGGGCCCTGTGCGTACGCTGCACCCAGGCCCACAGTTGGGCTCCTTTGCGACCGGAAGTGCAGGCTCAGACAAACCCAACAACAACAAACGCACATCGAGTCCTACCTCTGCGCCAGACAGCCCCCACCCCTTCCCCCCGTCACACCTGTGCAGTGCACACCGCTCCACGCCCACCTCCAGGCGGGCCGCGGCGCACGCACGCCCCGCATCAGCAGGGCCCCCTGCTCCACAGCTGGGTCAGCGGGACCGGCGGTGTCCCCGGAGGCCGCGCACGAGCAAGCACAGAGTCAGCAAACACCGGAGCCGGTCTCCGGGGCACGGGGCGCGTGCAAGGCTCTGAGCACAAAAGGAACAGACTCGGCCCTGGTTCCACGGACAGGCGGGCGGGTGGGGTCCGGGCGGTGACAGCGCCTCCCAGCAGCGCCGGAGGGCGGGCCACCGACAGAGGGCGGCAGCGCACAGGGTCAGAGGCTTCTGAGTGTCACCGGCTTCCCAGTAAACCCCAGAAGGACGTGAAGAACAGGACGAGTAAGAGAAAAATAAAACGGGTCTTTGCACGGAGATGCTGGCGGACCAGCGTCCACACAGGAGAATGACGAGAAGGAAGGTGGAGGGACCACAGCAGAAAGACCCCAGGGACACGGATGAAAACTCGGAGGCCGCCCTGGCGGGCCGAGCTGCCCGACCAGCGGCGCGGGCCTGGCATCGCCGTCTCAGCCGCCGCCTCACGCAGAAGTCCCAGCACGCGGCACAGGGACAGCCGCGAGCGCCCGAGGGCCTGCTGCGCGGGGCTTCCGGCCCCTCCGTCTGTGTTCGTGCAGCGGTTCTGCACGAGAGCAGGGAGCAAGGTGATGGTCTCCTCAGCACCTCTCTCCAGGCCGATGTTTTCCACATACGAACCGGGAAAACTCCCTCGTATCCTAATCTGAAATGTCCTAATCAATCAGACGCTGGGGGACACTGATGGAGTCAAGACAGACGCCTTCGAAGACCCCCACCCGACACCGCAGAGGCCCCTGGGGAGAAAACTGCCCACCTGCAGGGGCCCCTCCCACAGCCCTGCGCTGCTCCCCCCACCCGGCCCGGCCCGCCCCAGGCCCGCGCGCCCAGAGGGGCGGCAGGAACTGTGAGGCCTGGGCCAGCACTTCCTTTCCCACTCACGCCTGTGACCGAGCAGGCGTGTCCGGGACCGGGAACGCCGCGCTCAAACCGCGGATGAGAGTCTCCGCACCCGCGCAGCAAGACTTGACTTTGAACACCGTGCCCTTGCATCGTGACGTGGCCCGGCTGGCACTGGGCGGGGGGGGCCGCCCTCGATCCGGAAAGCCGTCCTGAACGTGCGGGAAGTCGCACCTGCAGCTGAGTTCGCTCCACACGCAGGTTCTCCCCGCGGTCTCCAGACGGACAGATGGACGGATGGATGGACGGCCGCTCCGAGGAGCAGGGCCCCTCAGACGGCACTGTGAAACGGGAACTCGCCCACACGCTCGTCTCCAGTCCTGAGCCCGGGCCCTCCGCGGGGGGTTTGTAAACCATTTCTCTGTCGAACGGAGCAGCCACACCCGAAGCCCAGAAGCCGTGGGCGCACGAAGGCTGCTCCGCAGCCGAGACTCGGTGTGGCCGTCCCTCGGGCCCTCCATGCGGGGACACCCACGCCCTCGGTGAGATTTAAGCGGGGTCAAAAACGGGCCTTAAACTAACCCAAGACCAACATACGAAGCTCAACCCCCACCGCGACGCGGGACTCTGCGCATGTCAACGCCAAGGCTGGGAACGACGCAACGGTCGACGAGACTGCGCCTCCGGCCAGCGGCAGGCTCCGAGCGCCAGCGCGACTCCTCACGCACGACATGCAGCGTGGAGCGCTCACCTTGTTCTGGCAGATCTGGTGCACGGGCCGTGTGTGGGCTCCCGCGACCACGGCTGCACTGCGGCCGGCGTTGAGGTCGAAGACTTCCACGGCCCTGTTCCGGCCGGCGGCCAGCACGAGGTCTGCGGGGTCGGGTTAGGGAGCGCTCGCGAGCCCTGTGTACGCGGTGAGGGAACGCCGCCCTGGGGGGCGAGGGGGACCGGTGCGGTCTACGGCCCAGCCCCACGCCGGCCCCTCGTCTCCAGGTGCTGATGGAGCTTGGGGGGCTTCGGAGGACAAGGGGGATACGCCGGGGTGCAGCGGATCTTGAGGTGGAAGTCCACGAGCTCCCCTAACAGCTGAGCGAGGTCCGAGGGGGGCGGGGAGCAGCACGGCAGGCTGACGCACAGGCGCTGGGCTCGGGAGACGCCCCGAGATGAACGCCAGCGGAGCCCACGGGGCCAGCTCGCGGGGCCCAGGCTGCACAAGTGAGCGGGGGAACACGTCGCCAGGGAGCGTGACCGACGGCAGGGAACTGGTGCACGGGGACGGTGTACGGACTCAGGGTCCCGTCGCCCCCAGAACTACCCAACTGCCCGTGGTTAGCCGAGAATGAGGACCAGTGTTCGTGGCAGAAAAAATGCACGAAAACCCCAAGAAGTGTGCACTGCAGACCGAGTGCCGGCCGAGATGCTGAGCGGCGGCCGCCGCCCCAGAGCAGGCAGAGCCGCCTCCACGGCTGCCGGACAGAACCACAGGCTCTGCCCGGCCGTGGTGCTGTGCTGCTTTTAGCAAAGGTTCTAGAATAGAGACAACATCTTGCAGAATGTACTAGAACCTTCTAACACCTCACGCCAGTCCTTATGAAACTTCAGCAACAGACATCTTCAAAAGAATCTGAACTGGGGCTTTGATAAATTAAAATGTTATAAAATAAAGTCCTGGAGGTTGTGACGTTTGCTTTTAAGTAAACTTAAATTAAAGCTTTTTCATTAAAAGGTGTGCTGTTGGCCATAACACCTCAGAGCATCACAGGTTTGGGCTCAACCTGACATCCCTTTGACTGCAGCTGCTGAGTCTTGCGGCCCCCACGTGGGGGGCGGGGCGGGGCGGGGCCGGGGCAGGGGGCGGGGCGGGGCGGGGGGCGGGGCAGTCCGACCGGTTGGCTGGCGTGCGCAGTGGGCGTGGCTTGGCTTTGCCACGCACGCAGTTTCTACCCACTGCTCTACCCGCCACCGAGGAGAAACAGCAGGTGAGATGCTCTGCCGCACCGGTTTTTCCCTGTGCGGGCTTTTTGCCGTTGGGCTGCACCTGTGCCGTTATCTAGAGTCTGCGTGCACCGCCCGCCCCCGCGCCCGGCCGCAGCCCGGAGCTCAGGGAGGAAGGATACGGGAGTAGAACTCGTTGACGGCGGACAGGCAGGTGATCTCCGCGGCGCCCGCCATGGGGAGCCTGAAGACCGGGCTGCATCCGCTCCGCTGTTTGTACCTGGGAAGAAGGCGAAGATAACCAGCGGCTCTGCTCGCCTCCACGGCAACGAGGCGTCCTACCTACGAATCACCCAAATCAAACAAGTTTTCACATCACCTAATAGTCATGTCTTACAACGCTGAGCGAACGTGAGCTACCTTGACCTTACTTTGCAAAACGTCATGAAAGAAACGTTGTGTGTGTAGCCAAAAATAACGCACTGCTGTCTATGAGAAAGCACGCTTTTCTCCTAGTTCTAAAGTAATTCTGTATCCATAATGAGACATCCAGTCGCTAATAAAGGGTTTGTATTGCCGTCCAAACGTGCTTTCCTCATGTTTCCTAAAGGCTTGATAAGCATGTGGTCTGAGCCCCTACAATGACCCTGCAGAGCGCAGGCACCGGTCAGCAGTGCTGGGAGGGCGGGGTGGGGCCAGGAGGTCCAGAGGGGCAGGGGAGCAGGAAAGCACGGGCCGGGTCGGTGGTCAGAGCACAGGCGGGTGAGGGGCCGAGCCACTGGGGGCTCCATGAGGATGAGCCAGGCCGCCAACCCCACCTTCCACTGGCAGGTTGGTGCTGCATGAGGTCCGGGCCCCCAGTGGGTGCTCCTGGGGTGACTTGGGTGCAGGACAGGACTCCTGCGTACAGGGACCAGAAGGGGCAGCTCAGAGAGCACCGCCCCACGGAGATGCCAGGGACAAAGTGGGTGACGCCCCAGGTGTGGGGACGGAGCCCAGGGACAGCAGGACAGCCACCGAGGCAGAGAGCAGTTGGTGATGGGGGCTGCCGAGCCCTGCGGACCGCAGAGGCGAGGGAAGGCACCTCGGAGAGAGAGCGGGTCGCGTGTGAGGGCGCAGGGCGTGTGAGGGCGCGTGGCGGAAACCCCGGGCAGCGGGCAGGACCCTTGAGGGGCTGCAGCCGTGAAAATAAAGCGGCTCTGAGGGCCGGGCCGGGGCGGGGACACCGGTTTACGTCACGCCGTCAGTCCGCAGCAGCTGCACTCATTTCGACCCGACAGCAAGAGTGGCCCAGGGCTGGGGGCTGGGGTGCGGGCCCTGGGGGGAGGGAGGGGTCTGCCGAGGGCCAGGCGTGAGGAGGCGCTGGCAGCGGGCCCCTCGGCAGACCATCACAGGGCGGGGCAGGTGCAGACCCAGGCCGCCAGTCCCGCCACCACCTGAGGGAACAGCAGCCTGGCGACAGGTGCTCTGGCCTGTGGCCGCCCAGGTGAAGGCCCTGCGCTGCGAGCCCGAGGGCTCAGGGATTAGTGGCCACGCCCAGCTGAGGCCGGTACTTGGGGGTACTAGGGGTCCGAGAGTGACACACAGGCCCGGGGACACCCAGCCCAGCCCAGCCAGGGGAGCACGTCTGGGGACGCAGGTACGGCCGCCTGCTGGGAGAGGACGCCGGCTGAGCTCTCTGCAACCCCCAGGGTCACCCAGCCACGCCCTCACCCGTGATGCAGGATGACACACAGCTGCCACCGCTACAGAGGGAAGGGCCCAGGGGGGTGGCCACCGACCTGTTCATCTCGTCCTTGCGCGTGTCCACGTGGTACTTGAGCAGCAGCAGCTCAGGGCCCGCGGACAGCAGCAGGAAGGCGTCGAGGTAGTAAAACTGGGCGGCGCGCACGGGCTGCGCCAACACGGCCTTGCCCTGCAGAGCACACGGTGCGGTCACCATCGCGTGATGCCCGAGGCGCCGTGGGAACACCTCTGCTCTCAATGGGGAGTGTCCCCCCGAGCCCCGAGCACGGGCCCCACTACAGGTGCCAACGTCTCGGCTCCCTGCTGCTGCTTCTGCTCCCCGAGTCCTTCTGCACGAGGCTATGGGGTCAAACCTTCCCAACGCCAGTGTGGGGAGGGTGGCCCTCAAAAACCAGTGGGAAAGACTTAAAACTGGGCAGAAAAGATATTCACTGTCGAGGATTCTGCTAAAGCCAAAATCTTAAACGGGCTTCGAACAGCGGGTGCAAGGCATCTGCGCTCACTCGGCACAGCCTGCATGTGGGGCGCTGACCCCTGGGCACACGCCGCCTCCGCCCGAGCCCGAGCCCGAGCCCTCCCGGGTTAGCTCTCCTGGCGTCCGGCCCCGTCTCACAGAGAGACTCACACACACACAAGAAAATGTGACTCGAGTCTTTGAAAGCTGGCAACGCGCCGGCTGGTGAGGTGACACATCAGGGCCCAGGGCCCGTCCCCCTGCCCACCCCGTTGCTCCCTGCCCCCGCGGGCCCCCACACTGTCTGCCGCCCAGCGGCCTCCACCGATGCCCCAGAACGGCTCGTTTTTCCCCCGAAAAGCTTCCTCCCGAAGGCACGCCCCGGGCCACCACGCCCTCTGACGTGGAACATGTGCCCGCGGGCTAGTGCGCGGTTTTGCCCTTTTGAGTCCAACTGCAGGTGTGTGTGCACGTGTGTGTCATGCACACGGGCCCGCCATGCGTGTGTGTGCATTCACACGTGTGCCCTCAGAAACGCTCCTGTCACTGTCAGTGCCTTGAAGCACACAGCTGGTCGGCCCTGCTTCCTCGCCCCCTCACTGAGGGGCGAGGTTGGCCCCCGGGGCGGTGACCGCCCAGCCACCTCGCAGGCACAGGCGGGGCCCCAGAGGTCGGCTCGGTTACCAGACACAGGACGGCCTCCCTGCTGCGTGCCGACCACAGCCTCAGCGTCCCGTCCTGGGAGGCGGACAGCAGCCATCGGCCATCGTGGCTCCAGTCCAGGGTGCTCACAGCCCCGTCGTGACCTGGCGGGGGACAGACAGGAGGGAGGGGCCAGGGTCACGGTCAGCGTGACGCCCGTGGAACCACAGCCCATGGAGACGGCAACTTCATTGTGAGGCTTTAGGTGGTTTCTGAAGAATGTGTTCCCAAAATTCACATTTAAATACGTCCATTTTTTAAAATATGAAGTTCAAAATTGTGTGCATCTAAGAACAGGTTTTAAAAGAACCTTATGTTCACTCATTAGGTGAAGTAGTTTTTTGGTAAAGGAGAGAATAAACAAATGGGACTTCATTAAAAAAAAGCTTCCACATGGCTGAAGAAAGCAGCATTAAAATGAAAAGGGAGCCAACCATATGGGAAAACATATTTGCCAATAAAACCTTGGACAAGGGTTTGATCTCCAAAATACATGAAGAACCCACGTGAGTCCACTCAAGGTAGACAAACAATCCAATTAAAAAATGGGCAAAAGACCTGAACAGACACTTCTCCAAGGAGGACACACAGAGGGCCCAGAGACACATGAAAAGATGCTCAGCATCACTAGCCATCAGACAGATGCAAATTAAAACCACAATGAGATACCGCCTCACACCGGTCAGAATGGCCATCACAACCAAATCAACGAACAAGTGTTGGAGAGGATGTGGAGAAAAGGGAACCCTAGTGCACTGTGGGTGGGAATGCAGACTGGGGCAGCCACTGTGGAAAACAGTATGGAACTTCCTCAGAAAACTAAAAATGGATCTGCCTTTTGACCCTGCGATTCCACTGCTGGGACTCTATCCTAAGAATCCTAAAACACCAATCCAAAAGAACCTCTGCACCCCGATGTTCATAGCAGCAAAATTTACAATAGCTAGGTGCTGGAAGCAACCTAGGTGCCCATCAGAAAAGTGAGTGGATCAAAAAACTCTGGTACATTTACACAATGGAATTCTATGCAGCAGAAAGGAGGAAGGAGGTCCTACCCTTTGCAACAGCATGGATGCGACGGGAGAGCATTGTGCTGAGTGAAATACGCCAGGTATGCCAGGTACGTGAGGGACAAGTACCATGTGGTCTCACCTGTAAGTGGAGCCTAATCAACAAACAAACAAGCAGCAACACAGAACCAGAGACACGGAAACACGGAAAGACTGAAGGTACAAGAGGGGAGGGGGGAGGGGCAACAGGGCAAAAAGGGGAAGGGTCGAGTCCAGGCGCGTGGACAAGTCCCCAGGGACGAGGACAGCGGGGTGGGGGGAGGACTGAATGTGGGAGCGGGGTGGGCGGGGCAGGGGGAGTGATGGGGGAATGGGGACGACTGTAGGGGAACAACAAAACAACTGAAACCGCGGAAGAACCTGACACAATGCGCAGAAGCCTGCGGGCTCCCGAGGGCGCACTTTGAGGAGCTGTTTTCCTTGGACGCTGAAGGGAAGCGTCGGGGGGGCCGCTGAGCGTGCTCACACGAGACCCGACTGTCGGGAAGACCCCGCGGAGCTCTGGCCACAGCAGCAGGCCTCACGGCGCCGCCCTGGGGGGCTCCGACACCTCGGACACCCATCTCACAGCCCCCACCCCGGCGCCCCGAACACACGGGAACGCGGAGCAGACGAAGGGGTCTGGAGAGGACCGGAGACGGGCTCCCCGGTCCCACCGGAGCGCCCGAGGAGGCTCCAGGACCAGGCAGCGGGTCCCTTGGACGCCGCGGCCCTTACGCCCATGGTCACCACATCAGCCAGTCGTGTCTGAGGACACGGGGCGGCTGGAAGGTCAGGCCGGTCGCGCGTACAGGCCTGGGCCCGGCCACCGTGGGTGCAGGGCGCGCCCCCCAACCACAGAGAAACCAACCGAGGCCTGAGGGAGCGAGGGCACCCTGCAGCCTGCACGGCCCGGTGACGGGGCACACTGGCAGCGCCGCCCGAGGTGCCTGCAACCCGCACTCTGCGAGGGAAGCCGTGCAGGGTAAGCCCCCGTGGCTGCGAGCGCCTGCTGTCCCCAGGTCTCCGCACGAGCCCTGGCCCCTGCTGCTGCCACACGGGAGTCACACATGATTGTTTGCTGAGGACACGATGAGCCCCACAGTCCCCTGGCCACGCGTGTCGGGGAACCAGAAGAACCACACAGCTAGTGGATCCAGGAGGGCCGGTCCCAGTTCTGGGACAGGCAGGGAACCAGCGGCCATCTGAGTGGCTTTGCTGCCCTCTGCTGGGCACTTCTGGGAGTGCCATCACCTCTGCTGCTTAGCTGACAAGTGGCCAGGAAGGGCAGCGTGACCTTACACTGGACTGTGTGTCAGAGGCTCCTTGACCACTGCCACCACTGCCGAGGGGCCCAGAGGCCCCTGTGCAGCCACCCTCTCAGCCCAGGGGGTGAAGGCCCGGCTGCCGGGCTGCAGGACCTGCACATGCTGACGTGCTGGCCACGTGAGCGGCTCCATTTCCTGGCACAGTGGTCAGGCCACTCTGAGCCCCCCCCCGCACACACACACACACACACACACACACACACATGCAGCACAGAGCGGGCAAGGGCGCGTGGTCTAGGGACACCAACAGGAAGTCATGGCGTGTAAGGGTCCAATTCGTCCAGGTCCACTGCAGCCCCCGTGTCCCCCCCTTGCCCTCCCCTCCCTGCTGCCCCTGACAAGCAATCAGCCCTACAGACAGGGTGGGTGAGCCCCAGGCCTGCCCCGAGGCCCCCACCCAGAGCCGGTCCCCAGAGGGGCCCAGCCCCAGAGGAGTGCAGGCAGGGGGATGAGGCGGAGCCTCGCTTCTCGGTCAGGAAGCAAGACGGCCCGAGCCGAACATCGTCCTTTCCCAAAGATGGGTGTTCTGTGCGTCCACCACCTTCCGTGGAGTTTTAATGGAACGTGCCCCGGCCCTTGTCCCTGGGCGGGGCGCCGCCGACGGTGGTGCTGGGCGGGGAACGGTCTCCCTTCTGAGCGGAAACCTGGACTCCTTCACCAAGTTGGACACAATCGTCACCGGCTGCCCTTGAACTTGCGCTGTGCCCTCGTGGGCCAAGCGCTCCGCAGGGAGCTCCAGTTCAGCACCCAGCTCCCCCCGCAGTCAGAAGGCCCAGCCCGGCCTTCCCCGCCTGCCGCCGCGTGCCGACGGTGCGGCCCCAGACGCAGCCTCGCACCCAACGGCCCCTGCAGGCCCAGCCGGGGCGCTGGCCGCAGCTCCCGGCTCACAGGGGCCGCCCTCTCCGGGCAGCAGAGCTCTGGGGAGTGCGGCTCGTTAAACCCCTGCCTCAGCCCCAACTCCGCCTTGACTCTGCTCTGCTCCTGTCTTCAAGGAGGCAACACTGGCCTGCAGCCACGAACAACCAGGGACAAAGGGAGACCGGCCAGCAAATTCTCGTTCACCGAGGTCTGGACACGGCTTACCTGAGAAAACAGCAGGTGCCCCGGTGAGATCGGCACCGAAGACCAGCAACACGTGGTTGGCCAGGCCACAGGCCAGCCGCCGCCCGTCTCCTGCTCGAGAAAACGAGAGAGGCCCTCAGACCGCGGCTCCCGGGAGGCGCGCCTGCAGGAGGAGGGGCGCAGGACGCCTGGGGCACAGCCTGGCGCCGCCTCGGGAAGCGGCAACTCCCAGGAGGAGCAGGCCCCAACCTTCTTCACTGGCACGGCCCCAGCACTGCGGGCCACGTGGCTTCCTCTCCGGAGCCAGGGTGCACAGCAGGGTGGCTGTGCCCCGAGCCCTGGGCGCCAACCCAGCGTCCCGCCGGCAGACTTCCCAGCGGCACCTCTGCCGAAGCAGCTCCGTCCAGACTTTTCCCCGAGAGGAGACAGGGATACACCTGCAGGCGTGAGGGCCCCGGCCCACACAACCACACGCTGAGCAACGAGCACGTTGAACGAACGTCCCGAGGACGTCTAGTGCACGGGCGAGGCCCCAGATCTGACTTCCCAGGGTCACTTCACAACGCCTCTGGCCGGAGCTGCACGACCAGCAGAGGGAACGGAGCCCAGCCGCCAGCCCTGAAAACCCTCGGGGCTGCACCTGGAACGCTCAGGCCCAAGGCTGGTCACGCCCTTGAGGGTGGCGGCCAGGCCCTCCTTCCACCGACCGGACCCACGAGACAGGCCCGGCGGGCGCGTGCTCCAGACACACGCGGGCCGTGGAGCTGCCCCCTCGCGGCTCCCACCTGGTGCAGGGCAGACAGCCAGAGCCGGAGGCCGGGAGGCACGTCTGACACAGGCGTCTGGGTGCCCCGGGGCCAGGCGGCTGCGGGAGCAGCGGCAGCAGGGCGGCCGGGACGCCTGCAGCATCACCTGTGCGCTCTCCTTCGCCCGCCCCGGGACCTGGTGACCGGCTTCCAGGGCGGGGCGCCGTCTGTTCAGCCGTCCCCTCCTCCCTGGGAGCCGTCCCGCCAGGCCGCCCGCAGGCCAGAGGAGAAGGGGAGGGGACGCGGGGACACGGGCACGAGGGGCACAGACCTGGGAGCCTGCGCCCCGAGCCCAGGGTCACGGCCCGGCTCCGCCCCAGCCCCACTGACTCACGGGCGAGGGAGAGAGTCCGGATCCCCACCTAGTCTGTCTAACCGCAGGCCCTGCCGCACGGCCTCGGGCCACCGAGCGTCGGTGAAGTCCAGCGGCAGCGGTGCCCCCCTGGACGCCGTACCTGAGAACTGGACGCAGCACACGGCGGCCGGGCCCTGGGGGACGGCGAGCTGCCTGCGGAGGGTGGTCGGCACGGACTTCTCCGAGGGGTACTCCTCGCTGGAGGGGGGAGACGGGCGAACACAGAGACTGAGAGAGGGTCCACGGCCGGGGGGAGTGAAGACCCACACAGTGGGGTCTCCCCACTGCCGTGCACGGTTCCACCCCGTCAGACTCGAATGTCTGCACAGTGTCGCTCTCAGAGCGACGAGGTGGCTCTTCACAATACACTTGGGTCCCTCGGTGCCCCGAATGCTGGTGTTTTCAGTGCAAATTATCAAGAATGTGTCGTATTCACTCTCAACTGACCCGGATGGATACCGGATGGCTGGGGGGAGGGGCAGGTCCCCGGGGGAAGTGTCTCTCTGCCTGGCTCAGACACTGCTCGGGGCCCCGTGACACTGACCACGCACAGGGGCAAGCGGCCCCTTCACCGGACAGTCACCCCGTTCCCAGGGTCTGGGGGCAAGGGCGGCATGCCCGGCGGCCTCTCCACACCCTCTCCCCGCCCGCTCCTCAGGGCAGGAGCCTGCTGGGCAGCCTCAGGGCAGCGGCCAGGCCAGGCCGGGGCCGGCAGGCTGTGGGGGCCTCGCACGCCCTCCCCGCTCTGAGGCCCAGACCCACAGGCAGACGCGGCCTGAAGCCCGCACCTCACGGTGCCACCGCGGGTCCCAGAACCATGGTGATGGCCAGAGCATGACAGGGGGCCAGAGGGAGGGGGCAGCTGTGATGGGGAAGCACACATGCTTACCCATGTGTCACACGCTTATCTGCACACACGTATCTCCATGCAGATCCGCATGCATGCCTGCGCTTATCCAACCACACTTGCATCCTTATCTACACGTGTGCACTCGTGTATCCATACATGTCTGCATCCCATCCACACGCATGTTCACAGCTATGCTCACACTTGTTCAAAGTACCCACACACGTCCGTACCCACCCACACATGTATCTACGTGTGTATCTAGATGCACATCCACATTTATCTGGGAACATATCCCCACATGCATCCCCACACGTGTCCACATGCCTGCCTCGCAGCACGCAGGGCCATCCCTTCAGCCTCAGGCTCAGGGGTCCGGATGCCGGGACCCAGGACAGGTGTGGGGCCTGCGCCCTCCCTACAGGAGGCCCCTGAGAACCGCTGTGTCGCCCGGGGCGGCTGGGTCTGGAGGGCCAGGCCCTGCACCCCAGTCTCCAGGAGCGCGGCTGGGGCCTGGCCCTGGGGCTGTGCTTGCCGCCCCACGGCTGCCTCACAGGGCGGGGCTCCCGCCCCCAGCACAGCCCGGCAGCCACGGCCCCGAGGAGCAGGACCAGGGAGGAGGGCGGCACTGGCGTCCGCTCAGACCTGCAGGCGGACAGGGCTCTTCAGCCGACCGACGAGGGTCAGCGTGAACAACCTTTCAGACCCTGCGGCCCGGACCTCCGCCCACACGACCTGGGATGAAGCCCCACACGCACATGCACGGCCTGCTGTCCCCCAACGGCCGAGACGGCCGGGCCGGCCCCGCCGGGGTCGGGTGTGGAGCCGGAGGCGGCCGCGCCCGGGCAGGGCTGAGGGCGGAGGAGCCAGCCTGAGTCCAGCTCGCACATCGCTGGCCCCCCAAGACCGGGGCTGGTCCGCCCCCGGCGCCAGCACCCCGACCCAGTGGCTCCCTAAGGACCCCGCCAACGACAACCGTCCGCTGCAGAGCCCCCTAAAGGTAGACTGTAACAAAAACTCAGTGTTCCAAAGCTGGGGGGGACAGGCAGAGCAGCGGCATGTCTGAAGCATGACAAATACGACAGAATTAAATTTGACTGAAGGGTCTTCGCACGTGCGTGGGTGTGCACCCACATCCGTGTAAGCAGGCGTGTGTAAATGAGGCCTCCGCCATCCGACATGGCTCAGTGAACTGCATGAGGGTCGCTCCGAGTCACCCGGGGGTGCGCGGGGGTGCGGGGCGGGGTGCGCGGGGGTCCGTACCGCTGGTGCACGTTCCTGCGCCCTGAGGACCTGTCCTGGCCGCCCTTGACGGCGGTCTTCCGTGAGAATGTGGCGGCGCTGCGGGAAAACCGCACGTGGGTCTCAGACGTGCTGAGGGCTGCTCAGGAGATCCGCGGAAACGCAGGTCCGTGTGAAAGCACCACTGGCGCCCCACGTCCACGACAGACCGCCCCTCCCAGTCACTCACCAACACTGCCGGGCCGGGCCAGGCCGGGCGATGGGGAGGCCAGGGGACACTCAGGGGGGTGTGGAAGGTGTGAGGTCAGTGGGGACGGCTGGCCACGGGGAGCCCTGGGGAGCCCGCCCAGCGCCCGACCTGCCCACTGACTGCAGGGGACCCCCCCCAAAGGCTTCCCAGTGCTGGGGCCGTGTCGGGGCCGTGCATGTCGGGGCCCGTGGAGAGCAGACACAGGCTCAGGTCCGAGGCAGCAGCAGGGAGGCCGCGTGTCTGCATCCTGCTCCTGAGAACCGCGGGGCCCCCGGGCGGCCGGACCTGCAGTTCTTGGCACGCACCCTGTCCTGCCCTGGCCCAGCCGCCCCTCAGGCAGCCCCCTCTGGGCGCAGGGCTGCACAGCCGGGCGACAGAGCGACAGTGCGGGCCTGTGGTCTGGGAGCGACATGCACCTCACGGGGCCACGGCCGGAGGGCTGACCGCAGGCCGGGACCAGGACACTCTCAGCAAACACTTCCTGCACAGCTGCTGCCGCTCGGCGACTGGGACCCTCCGGGCCGGGCCCCCTCTACTTGCTGCCGGTGCCTGCTTCCCGTCCCGGGGGGGTGCCCACCTCCTGTTCTGTGCGGGGGGGGCACCCGCAGGGCACACTGCGGGCATTTGAGCCCCGACAGCCACGGGGTGCACGTCCCGCCCCCACGCACACAAGGAGCCCGCAGACACTCACTGCGGGGCGGCCGCGTAGCCGGACGACCGGATGGAGCTGTGGAACACCAGGGGCTGGTCCCGCACGGCGCCCCGGGCAGCTGCAGCGGGGGCACGGGGTCAGAGCGGCCGGCGTCTCCCACCGACCTGGGAGACGTCGGGAGCACGTCTGTGCTCCCTCCCGCGTCCCGGAGAGCACCACACTGACCAGCGCGTTTGTGGCCGCCCGGCCTGGCCCATCTCTCCGCAGCGACCCCGAAGCGCAGAGGGGAGGTCGGCGAGACGCAGGAGCTGAAATGAACGGGACGTTGCAGGGGGCAGGCGCACCCGCCAGAGCCGTCTGGACCCTCGCGCCGAGAGCACAGTGCAGGGGCGAGTGCACAGGGGCGAGTGCATGGGGCAAGTGTGCAGGGGTGAGTGTGCAGGGGCGAGTGCATGGGGCGAGTGTGCAGGGGCGAGTGCATGGGGCGAGTGTGCAGGGGCGAGTGCATGGGGCGAGTGTGCAGGGGCGAGTGTGCAGGGGCGAGTGCATGGGGCGAGTGTGCAGGGGTGTGAGCGCACAGCATTTGGGGGCAGCTGCCGAGCGTCCGCTCGTCTTCCCGAGAACCAAAGCCGCATGTCGGCGGAAGGGCTGCGGCCCTGCCCCCTGCGTTCCGCCCCGGAGCGCGGTGTGTCCCGCACAGACGTGACCCGCGCCCCTGGTGTTAGACAGGATGGACACGCAGTGAGTTCTTCCGGATGAGGGCAGTGCAGCCGGGAGCTCACCACTTTACTCCAGATGCTGCCAGCTGGCACCCGGACACACCCAGCCCCCACCTGCGCAGAGCCCCCCGGGCAGGCCCACCTGCAGAGACCCACCTGCAGAGACCCACCTGGGCAGCACTGAGAGAGGCGTTCCCGGGAGGGGGCGCTGCTGAGACCTCACGAGAGCGGCCAGGTCGACCTCCAGCAGCGCGACCTCACCCCCAAACATGGAGGCGAGCAAGCAGAAGGCCTGCGAAGGCCGGGAAGAGGCAGGCAACTGCGACCCGGTCGCGAACGCCGGGCCCGACTCCCCGCACATGCAGCTCTGCCGGCAGCAGGCATGCGTCCGGCACTGAGGGCTCCAGGGCCTGACCGTCAGGGCCGTCGGCTCGGCCCCGACACCCCCCACACCCTCCCCACACAGACCTCGGCACTGAGCCCGCATGGCTCGGGTGGGAGACGTGAGCACGGTTCCCGTGGACAGACGGATGGACGGACACACCCCCCCCACAGACCCCGGGTGCTGAGTGCGGAGGACTGACCTTTTCATCGCCGCTCGTCACGGCACAGGATCCAGCAACCTGAATGCTGAGGTGCCTGAAATCTTGATTTTCGGCAGGAAAAACAAAGCAGCAGCGTTTAGAAGGCGAGAAGGGGAACTAATCGGGTCAAGCAGCGACACGTCTGCCCAGTGAGCTCCCGACACCGCAGGGACAGAGCGGGGCCCGCCAGCTGGGCCGCTACACGCACGTGCACACACACACACGCACATGCATGCACACACGCAGACACACACGGGGGGCGGGGACGGGCAGAGGCGGGAGGAGGGGGAGGCAGGGCCCAGAGGAAGGAGTGTCGTCCCCTGAGGCGGGGTGCTGTGGGCTGGGCCGTGCTCAGCATCCGACTCATCCCCAGCCCCAGGGCCCCGAGGCAGCAGGGGCCTGCCTCTGCGGAGCCAGAGGAGAAGGGGGCTCGGAATTCCAGCAGGGGGTGCAGCAGAGGGGCGGGGCAGAGGGAAGCCCCGGCAGGTGCCTTCCCGACTGGGCCCTTGCTGACAGGGAGGAGGGGCATCCTGACCCCTCCAGCCAGCCGGGTGCACAGACCGTGGGGGCGGGACTGGAGGGAAGGGCGCGGCGGCCCAGCCGGCACAGGCCCAGTCGGACCCCCATGAGGCTGTCTGCACAAGGCAGGCACAGGTGTCCTGCCCTGGGGGGGCGGGCGGGCGGGCGGGCGCCAAGGGCCAGGGCCGTCCCACGCAGCCAGGACACCGGGGAGAGGGCGCAGCGGGCCCGAGAACAGGGAGCTGCACCACAGGCCCCGGCAGAACCAGACGCCCGTCCCCGGGCCGCCGCAGCCACCAGCCCCCCACCCCGCAGTGCCCACCGCCTGAGAGGAGCAGGCTGTCGCGAGAGCGCCAGGTCCCTGGTCCCCACACCCAAGGGACAGCCGTTCGGCCCTGAACCAGCTCCCCCAGAGCAGCCGGGAAACCCCGACGGGACCCGCCCGAGGTGCGCCGGAGGGACTCGAAACCTGGATCTCACCCTCATAGAGCAAGACGGCCTCCAGTTCAAAGTTGGCCAAGTTCAGCAGGAAAGAGCCCGTGGAGCTGCCGACCCACAGGCCGCCGGTGCTCGCAGCGGGGAGGCTGCTGGAGGGAGAGAGACAGGAACGCCGCGCCGGCCTTAGTGCAGCTCCGTGCCTCGGGGTCCCCGCGCCTCCCCCAGCGCTCCGTGGCTCTGAGCGCAACCGCACAAGCGTGCCGCTGTTAACCCTGTTTGGGGCCCCGGCTGGTGTGGATCAGTGGTCAAGTGCCTGCCTGCAAACCCAAAGGTCGCCAGTTCGATCCCCAGTCAGGGCACAGGCCTGGGCTGGGGCCCAGGTCCCCACTGGGGGCCATGTGAGAGGCAACCACACACTTCAGTTTCTCTCCCTCTCTTTCCCCTTCACTTCCCCTCTCTTTAAAAATAAATAAAGTCTTTTAAAGAAAAAGGATAAAAAAATAAAATTTTTTGGAATTTCTTAGGAACCTAGTCTCTTGTGAAGACAAGGAACCCAAAACGCCATAACCTGGTCCCCTCTCAACTCTGATCTGCGACCTTTTCATTGCTTCTGAGGTCACAAGAGCTGGAGCCACGGCCTCCGCAGGACCGCAGGCAGCGGGGGCCCCGGGAGGAGCTTGGTGCCGCCGCGCTTGACGGAGGCGGCTCTGCAGGTGACAGACAGATGGGGGGGCGGGCGGGGGGGGGGGAACCACCCCCCGGGCAGCAGGGCACTCGACTGCAGAGGGCAGAGGTCAGGCTCCACCTGGACTTTATGAGCAGAATGGAACGACCCCACCTCTGTCATTAAGTACATTTACAACGACCGACCAAGCGCACCAGCTTCAAGACTTAAAACTCGCAGCCCTAGGAACACCTGCAGTTATGACCACTCTCCACCCCCCGCCCCCAGGAGCTCCCTCCTGGGGCCCGGAGGCACTCAGCAGACTCACAGGCCCCGGTCAGGACCGCGGAGGCGCGCCAGGTCGCAGCGCGCCAGGCCCAGCGCAGGAAGCGTCGCGTCCACCGCGTCCCCTCGCCCCGGTGCGTCTGCGGAGGGAAGCTCACTGTCCTCTGGGAACACAGGCGCTGGTGACCCGACAGGCGAGGTGGCCGCGGGCGGCAGGTGTCGCCGGAAGCTCGTGCTGCCGCCAGCACAGCAGGGGCCCCCGGGGGACGGGCAGCGTCCTCAGGACGAGGAGCGGGGTGAGGGTGCCCGGCCGTGAGGGCGGGCGGGGTTCCGCGTGCGGACCGCAGAGGGGCGAGCGGCCGTGGCCGCATGGACGTTACTTCGTAATGAGCGGGAGCTGATGCCACAAACAGCGAAACGCTGAGGGCCAAGACGCAGGGCGGCAGGGGAAATGGACACGTCGGGGAAAGGTGATTTCTGAGCTGGTTTAGAAGGAAAATGGTTTACAGCCCTCGGCAGAAACACACACACAGGCCAACTAAACTGAGAGAACAACAACGATGAGAAACCTGAAGGTCGGCGAAGACGCATGTGCCGTGCAAGGAAAACGAACGGACTAGACCCACCCGTGAGAATCACTCGCTGGGTGGAAAGTGAAATCGGACGTTTTCCAGCGGCGTGGGCTCCAGGCAGGCGGGCGGACAAGGGGGCACGCGACCACCCGGAGAGCCTGGGCCGAGCACCCGGAGGACAGGGGTGGGGGTGGGGTGGGGGGCAGCCAGTGCGCCGGCGTGACACCCACCCCCGGCACACAGGCGGGAGGGGGCCCACCCTCACCCCTCCCCTGCTGTCCGCACCCCACCCACCACGTGGGACCCTGTGCCGGTCGCTCCGAGAGCCCGGGCAGAGTCTCGGGCCGTTACCTGGCCAGCCGCACGGCCTGGGCCCAGCCATCCTGGCACGGAAGCTCTCCACCTGCTTCCTCAGGTCGACGCGCGTCACACACCGGTAACGGTGGCTTTCCACCAAACTGCAGACACAGAGCTGGACGGGCGACGGGGACAGGAGGCGGAAAAGGCCCACGAGCAAGTGAGCGGCAGCCGCCAGGGCAGGAGGCCAGGCCCCAGGGGCCTGGGGGGGGCGTCCCGGAGCCTCTGCCCGGGGTCAGGGCCTGGCCTCCAGCGCCCTCTGCAGAAGCCGCCCTCGGGTGGGGGCGGCGATGTCCCCAGGCCCTGCCTCCCCAGCGTCGCCCGCCTGAGAGGACCTGCTCTGCCTCCCGACCCCCGACGACCCGCCCCCCCACCCACGTGGCTGCAGAGGAAACGCCCCCACACACACGAGAGCCTTGCCAGAACCCTGCCCTCCACACCAGGACACGGGCCCTCCGTGTGGTTCCGGCACCGAGTCCCAAACACCCGGGGACCTCTGGGAGGTTCACAGTGACCTGAGGGTCGGCTGGCTGCCAGGGTGGCCTGCGGCCCACTCCAGACTTCCCGGGAGGGCGAGGGGCCAGAGCTGGGGCTCCGTCACCAAGGCTACCGATTCATTCAATCAATGGTGCCCCCGTGGTGAGGCCTCCAGGAAATCCCAAAATTATGGGGCCCAGCCTGGCGAGCACAGCCCTCATGAGGCGGACGCACCCTCCTCCACAGGACAGCGGTGTCTGGGTGGGGACCCCAGCCCCGCCTGGTACGACTCTGCACTTGGTGGCTGACACAGAGCAGCCTAGAGACCATGAGCCTCTCCGGTGGATCAGTCAAAGCCAAGGAGGGTTGGGGGACCCTCTGATACACAGGCACGTGGGCAGAGGTGGGGGGAACCTGGGGACAGGCCCCTCACCCATGGGGTCGGACCTCCCCCAGGCCTGAGCTGAGCTGCAGGACGCCCGGCTGGTGTTACCGAGAACTTCCCAGTGTGGGACCAGCCGCCTCCCGTTCGGTGGGCAGAGTGTCGGGGGTGAGGGTTGTGGGTGGAAATAAAATGAGATTGCCCTGGGCGGCGGGGGGGGGGGGACACACGGAGGGAGAGCAGGGTTCTTCCTGAGGGGACACTGTTCCCGAATTCCATCAGCGGATAAAGAGAACAGGACCCGGACTGGGTGAAATGACCCTTAATCGCTCGCCTAGAAATCCGAGTTTTGAAGATTTCTGCAGGAGGGACGAGGCTGGCTGGGAGGCTGCGGGGGGGGCGGAGGGATGTGGGGGGCTCTGAGCGGGGCCCGCCAGTGCCACAGCTGCGGGCGGCGGGGTCACACTCTCACCTGGCCCTCGGCACAGCCGGCCACCAGCTGCTGGCTCTGCTCGTCCATGCAGAGGCTCAGGAGGGGGGCGGCTGCGGGGGGAACAGACCTCGCTCAGCCCCTGAGGCACCGATGCGGTGCGGGCGGAGGGCTCCGCTTCGCCGACTCCGACCCAGGTTCCCACCGTCCTTGGTGCCGGCTTCTCGGCAGGTGGGGCCCCGGTGAGGACTTCGGGGGTCCCCGTGAGCACCAGGCGGGCGGGGGCCGCCGGGTCCAGGCGACCCTCCCCTGGCTGCCCTGCACCCCTCGCGCCGTCCCCTCCCGACCCCTGGCTGTGCCGGGGCCCAGGGCGAGCGCAGAGCAGGTCCACCCAGGGAACTCTCGGCCCCCCACGGATCGGCTCCGGAGAGACCGAAACCGGTGAAACCGCGGGGCCGGTGGTGGTGGAAACGGCAGTGGAATGGTCATCCGTTTGAAACCGCTGCCTCGCAGGCCGTTTCGCTTCAGACGTGTCAGACGTGTTCCGACTCCACGCTGCCGAGAGCTCAGGAGGGGAGTCAAGGCGAACGGATGTCCAAGAACATCCCACACCCTAAAACACTGGGAACGACAGCAGCGTCGAGACTGTGATGGTTTTCTTGACAAACGTTTCCACGTAATTTCAGGAAGGTAGTTCCCGTTTCATTCCAGGAAACATGCTCTGCCCCTGCGATTGGTGGCGCATTCGAGACGCCCCAGGATCGGACGCTTCTCGCAGGTCAGCAGCCTCAGGAAGGGCGCCCTGCCCCGCCGGGGGACAGGTGCCTGCGGGCTCCCAGAGCTGTGTTCTTGGACTGCCGCTGGGGAGGCAGCCCCCTTGTCTGGGACATGAACGTGCACCGGGGAGCGGGAGGCTCCGGGGACGCCCACCGCAGAAGGTGCTGGCGGGGGGGGTGGCCTGCAGAGGAGTCGCGCCAGCCCCGAGGTATCGCCCACCCCGGGAAGACCCGTGCGTGCACCCTGCTCAGCACCCCCCCCCAGCCCCTCAAGGGACCCTGGGCGGACGTCAGCCGTGACCGGGGGATGGACAGTGTGAGGAGAGCACACAATGATGGGGACGCCCGGGAGCCGGACCAGCGCTCCCTGCCTGAGCAGCTGGGGTGCAGCCGGCCATCCCCGGCCTCGCCCGGCCCACGGCAGGGTGGGTCGGCGGCCCTGCCCCAGCGCGGCACTGGGCCGGCTCCCGGGGCAGCACCGGCCGCACATCTCCCGCCTTGCAAAGCTCCAAACAACTCCTACACTTCCCCTGAAAACTGAGAGAATTGGCGGGGGGGGCAGCTGTTTCTGTCTTCAGTCACACGGGCGCTGGGGCGTCCCCGGGAGCGGTACCTGTGAGCACCGGCGAGCTGTGCAGCAAGGATCCCATGCGGCTGTCCCAGACCTTCGGACAGACAGGGGCCTCCTCAGCAGCGGCGGCAGCGCTCCCGCCGTCACTGGCGGCGTGAGCTCGCACTGCAAGCCACGCACCAGTCACTCTACATGAAAGGTCTCTGAGAGAGAGACATGCACGGGCACGAGAGCTGCCCGGCGCACCCTGCGTGTCCAGAGGGTTCGGAAGACCCAGGACGAGGCCGGCAGGGACTCAGAGGCAGGAGGGAGCCGGCCTCGGGCTGCACGTGACCTCACGGCTTCCACTCTGGGACAGACACGCTCAGTGCCTCCGACTCCCAGAGACCACAGGCAGCATCACGCCGCTCACTCCCTCCGCTTCCAGACAGCACAGCGGGCGCAGCGTGGCTCGTGTTTTCATTTCCTCTCTTCTCAAGCCCAGCCGACCCTGGAAAGAGGTTCCTGCTCCGGGCCCCTCAGAGCCGCCCTGCAGATGCTCTGACGTTCTCCTCCCCGGCCCTGAGCTCCCTCCCAGCGTCCCGGGCCCCACCCACGACCCCAGCCACAGTGTCGGGCTGAAGGGCGGGGCGTGGCAGGAACACAGTCACAGACAGACGTGGCGGCGACCACAAACGTGAGGCCCTGCACGGCCGTGCCACCGCCCAGCGGCTCCAGCCCCGTCCTGTGTGCGAGCCGCCCCTCACCTTGAAGCACCTGTCCTCCGCCACGGAGACCAGGACGTGCGGCTGCCAGGGACAGAACTCCGCCGCCGTCACGGGGCCCTGGTGCCCCTGCAGCTGGGCCAGCACGGACCGGGCCTGGGGTGGACAGTGGGGGGACCAGACGCTGCAGCTGGCGGCTTCCGAGTCACCCAAAGCAGCTCCCTCCGCACACACTGCGCACGTCCCTCCTCCGTGCGCACTCCGACGCTCCCCATGCGCACACCCTGGGGATCGCGTCGGATGGCTGTGCACAAGCGTGGGGGCCCGGGAGCAGGGGCGGCGACAGGGAAGCCGGGCAGGCCGACCTTCACGAAGCCTGAGCAGGCGTCTTCCCCGAAACGCTCGGTGTTCGGAGCCGAGGCCCAGGCCGCGGACGAGCCTCGGAGGGCTGTGAGCCCGAGGACATGTCTGCTGCCGGCCGCTGACGCCACTCTTGACCGACCTCCCCGGGGGAAGCCTGCGTTTCCCAGTCGGCGTGCAGAGACCCGAGTGCACGCGGGGCCCGGCCCGCTCGGCCCCGCCCCGCCACAGCGCGGCACCAACGTGACGTCACGCCCGCGTCCTCCTCGACCTGCGTCCTGTCTCCAGGCCCCAGCCAGGAGACTCTCCGCAGACGGACGGCTGGGAGCGGGACTCGCGGCTCCGGGGCCCGGGTGACCTGTTTCCACGGGACGCTGAGGGCCGGCCACGAGTCCGGCCGGGGTGGGGGGGGCAGAACGCTGCTCCTGCTGCCTGACAGCGGCCGGGAACGCCGTGCCACGGTCAGGCACAGGACGCGGCCATCGCGGAACCTTCCGAGGACACATGCACTGACCCGCCCGACCCTGACTGAGGAGTCGGGGAGAGGAGCCCCAGTCTCGGTGGGAAGCGGGCTGTGAAGAAGTAGGGGGCCCACAGCAGAGCCTGCTGCGCGGGCTCAGAGCATCCGCGGGGTGGGGGCCGGCAGGAAGACGGAGGTTTCACGCCCACCATTGGACCTCCCGGATGGGGGGGAGGGGGGGATTGGGGGGGGGCGCCCAGCTCACACCGAGAGCAGCGTCTGGTTCCCGGGGCTCGAGTGCAGAGAAGGACGTGTGCTCGCTCGCCGCCCCGAACGTGTTCGCGAAGGCCGCCCCACCAAACACACCGCTGGCGAGAGGCAGGCGGCCCTGGCGCCCCCGGGGACTCACCTCGACGTCCAGCAGGAGGACCTGGTTGCCAGCGCACACCGCGGCCGCCCGGTCGTCTGGACGGAACCGCACACACGGCACCTTTCCCAGCAGGGTGCCCAGGACAGCGCCGCGCGGACCCACCCCTGCGGGCACAGGCGTCACGTCGGTTATCGGAGGTGGGACAGCCCTGCCGGGGGCGTCGCCAGCCCCTCCGCAGCCACCCGCAGAGCGGCGGCCTTCCCGGGTCTCTGGCTCTGAGAGCAGTCAAGACGACGAACACAAGACTCCTCCCGGAAACGTGGGGAGCTGGTCAGAAGGGCCCAGACGCCCCATCGCAGAGGGCGCCCGCCCCGTCAGCCCCGGAGAGGGCGCAGGTGCGCCTGTGCCGACCCCCCGCCCGGCAGGGACCCTGGGCACCCCGGGGCTCCGGACCAGGCTCGGGACTCCTGCCGTCCACCATCCCGGGAGAGGCCACCACGTGTCAGGATCCCCGTGAGGCCCCCAGAGACTCAGGGGGGGGCTTTGGGGACACCACCCCTTCCAGCCAAAACTGCCTGTTTACAAAGACCTGGGTGGGGAGCAGGTACCAGACACAAGTTTTACTGGACATGTGTGTGCACGTGTGAGTGTGGTGTGTGTTCATGTGTGTGTGCACTGCACGTGTGTGTCACATGTGAGCACTGCACATGTATGCATGTGTGTTATATGTTACTATACATGTGCCTGCATCCTGTAAACTGGCATGCCATGTGTCATGTGTGCATGCGTGCCTGTACTGTACGTGTGTGTGTTGTGTGCCCACGCACATGTTTGTGTGGCGTGTGCTGCAGGTGCCTTTCTGTGTGTTTCCTATGGGTGCGCACAATGTGTGTGCATGTATGTCATGTGGGTTCATGTGTTGTGGTTGTGTGTGCACATGCATGTGTGTTCACATGTGTGGGCATGTGTGTATTGTACGTGTGTGCAGGTGCTGGTGGTGATGCACTCAAAACAGAGTGGCCACACTACAAATTAAAAGAGGTGGATGAAATAGGCTGTTGCCCAAAATTGATTTTAAAGTAATCCTATAAACTCCAAATGGCACTCCATAATGTGGTCCTTGCTGACCTTTCACAGCCACCTGACAAAACCCTGACCCACCTCCCATCCACACAGGCTCGCTCCCGGCTCCACAGAGGGGCCAAGCTCTGCACACCCAGGCCCCCACCCCCCCTCTGCCTAAACTGTGCCTCCCGCCCAGCACCAGGCCCCACCCCCCAGCTCCTGTCTCCCCAGCTCAGTGACACCTCGAACACCGGTCCATGCGGCTGCCAGGACCTCTGCCAGGGGCCCCCTCCACTGCGCCACCCACAGGGCACAACCACCTCTAGCCTGCATGTCCTGCTCTGCGCCGGCCGCCCCCTCACCCCCGTCTCTGTAAGGAAAGGACACCCCAGCTTGCCCCATGCCCCAGTCCCACAAAAATCACAGATTTCAAAGGAAGAAAATGCAGACGATTAAACCCATGGAGCATAGAATCTCGGCTTCTCATGTGGCCCTGGTCCGTGGCCTGCACGGTTCCCACACAGGGCTCCCTGCCCCACAGCTGGTGTCCAGGTCGCAGGGGTCGAACGGGATCCCAAAGCCCTCATGTTACCCACTCTATTTAAGGGTACGTAGTTCCCTTTGTACAAGTTCCCTTTGTACAAGTTCCCCAAATACGTTTCCACTCTGCACTTACCCCGCAGGGCTTGCTCTCTGCACTCGTCCAGTCTCCACGTTACAACGCAGTCTGGCGACGCCGAGCAGACCAGCGGCGGGCTCCCTGCATTCCCAAAGGCCACGGCGGTGACCGGGTCACGGTGTCCTCTGAGGACGAGGAGCTACACATCCACAAGAAATCGCAGGTTAGAGGTAGCAAACGAAAGAACGTAACGGCATAACCTCAAACTAAGAAGCCAAATGCATGGAGTTTTCCCGACGTATCGATTGCATACATTCGTTTATTCGAGTCCCCATGTAGTGCTAAATGGTCCTCTCAGGTTAGGCATTTCGCTGTTGCTCAGCCTCAGGAATCACACACACTAGCAAAGTGACCAGCTCCCCTCCGCCCCGCTGGTCCATCTTCAGTAACGGAGTGCGCGCCCACTGCGCCCTCTGCTGGCCGGGGGGGGGACGGCAGTGTGAACTCTGCAGCTAAGGAGGGTACCGAGGACAGAGCCGGAGGAGGGGGCTCCGGGGGGCTGCACCTGCGTTGTGGTGAACTGCAGCTGGACAGCGGGCAGCCAGGTGACCTGGCGAGACCCAGGCCAAGAGGCTGGTGGCGCGGCTCAGGGTAGGGAGGCGGCAGAGACGTGACCTCGGGGGAGGAGACCAGAGCGCCCGGGGCCCTCCGTCAGGGGTGGGCGGTCTCCCCCAGCAGCACAGCGACTGCTGGGAGGACTGCAGGTTGGGGGGCAACCCCCGAGCACCCCGTGGGCTCCCGCGGGCCTCACTTGCAGCTCTCTGCCACCGAGGCCCGGAGCGAAGGCCAAGATCACTCAGACGCCACAGCACGCTGGTAGAACCTACCTCCCCGTTCTGTACAACGAAGTTTGTTTTCATTAAGAGGGTTCAAACAACTACGTTAGCCACAAACCATTCTAAAAAGGTGGTGTCTCCAAAACTCCCTCCCTTTAATGTAAAAGGGCCGGCGACAGACCTAATAAAGTCCCTTAAGGGTGTTAATATTAAGAATCTGTAAAATTCCAGCTGGTCCTGACTGTGTGAGGATGAACCTGTCCTCACTCCTGTTCCTTCTGAAGGACTTTTCCAATGCAGCGGCTCTGCACAGCTCGCTTCATGGAAACCGCGTTCACGGAACGCCTCGGGCGCGTTCCCGTCCTCCCCTGGGCTGTCAGCGGAACCCTGCTGGCGTCTTGGGCTGGAGAGGGACACGGGGCTGTGGGGGGCCCCGGGGCTGCGCACCTGGCCCGCGGGGTCCGTGCTGCTCCACACGCAGAGGCCGGGGCCTCTAGCGGGGAAGGCGCAGAGGGGCGGGCGGCAGGCCAGTGGCACGGGCGAGGCGCGGGGCCAGGACCCCACCAGGCGCGTCTCGGTGACTATGTCGCCGCTGCCACCGCCGGGCCTCTCGGAGGGACTCTGTGGTCCTTCCATCCGGGCCTGAAAGCACAGCACACAGACACGGGGGTGACGCTCCAGGCAGACGGTGGCCTGTCAGGCGTGGGTGCACGACTGCCCACGGGGCGCACTCGGCCCGTCACCCAGACCCCTCCCTGCTCCCGGGGAGAGGAGGCCCCTGCACACCCGGGAGGGCCCGTCCGGACTGCCCCACCCTCAGGCTCAGCCCTACCCGCCCCCGCAGGGAAACGGGGTGCAGCCCGCCCCGGGTGTGCAGAGCAGGAGTGGGGCCTGTGCAGCCCGGGCCCCCCTGGCGGGCTCCCCACATCCTCAAACCCCCCAAGGCCACATCACACACGGGCAGCACAGCCCTGCCCTGGTCCCAGGCTCACCCCCACTCCAGCGCCCCAGACAGCAGGGCACGTGGATGTGGGATCCTGAGTAGTCGGAGGTGTGCAGGCCCCTGTGCTCGCTGGGCGGGTCCGGTGATGGCAGCAGATAGCAGCCTCGAGCCCAGGCTGGGGACACAAACAGACACACGCGTGTGTCAGACGTGGGACAGCTCTTCTCCAGTTCGCCAGCCCGGTTCTGCCAACTAACGTTCTTCACAGCTGCCGAGGCCTGGCAGTGACCTTCATGTCAAAAAAACGGCAAAGGCATCAAAGCTCCCATGATCCCCTTCACAGACACTGCGCTCACAGGGGGTGTGTCTGCCACAGGGACCGGCCCAGGTCCCCGAGCGCAAGCCGCTGTCACCAGGCCGCGCCCATGGCTGCTGAGAAGCCTCAAGCACCTCAGGTAATGGAGGGCCGCGTGCAAAACCTTACATTTTTAAAAACTTTTGAGAATGCACACATAAAATTGTGATGAAACACTATCTTACTTCTTTAACACAAACTGTCCTCATCGCCACCGTGACCCCTGCAGAGCTGAGCGCAGTCACTGGGAAACAGCGCAACACCTCTGAACCAGGTGCAGTCCTCAAGTCCCTCCTGGAGACGTCAACACGCACCTCCGTGAACATCAGTGAGTGTGTCACACCCTCTAGTTCTTACAGCACGCCTTTCGAGTTGGTCTTTTTTCCAAGTCAGGTGTTCGGCAGAGGCAGCAGCAGCGGTGGGGTCGCCCCACCCAGACTCGCGTCTCTACCCCTGCCTGCCTCGGGCACCCACAGCGGCACAGGGAAGGGGTCCCTGCGTGTCCCTGCGTGTCCCTGGCTCCAAGGCAGCGCCCACCCACGAGGGTGCGTGCCAAGGGGCAGGGGCAGGGTCACAGTCACAGAGCCGCCTGGCACCCTTGCCTGCCACCCGCAGCCACACATCACGCCTGGCACCGTGCCACCACACGGCCAGGAGGAGAGCCGCAGAACCAACCAAAACCACCCTGGTCGGCTGACTGGGTGGACTCACGGCGCCCAGGCAGGAGGAAGACAACCCCCCACCCAGTCCTGGTGCCCCGTCCCCAGCTGAACCCCCTTTATCTCCTGGGGTGTTACCATATGCCCTCAATCGGAATTTAAAGTGTGGTCTCCTCCATCCCACCTGGACCGAGGCGCCGAGGCTTGTGCCTGCGTCCACATCCGTGTCCGGTGCTGGTGTCTCCAGGGTCAGAGGCTGGCCCTTCCTTGCAGGGTCCCCGGGGACCTCAGCACCCCATCCCCACACTGCCTCTTTCTGCTGGCTCCCGGCACCAGGCCAGGCCTCTGGGTGCAGTTCTTTCCAGAGCACTGGAGAACAGCTGCTCCTCGGTGGCCCCCGGAGCTGTGCGGGCGTCTCCCAGGGCCCCTAGTCCCCCTCGTCCAGGAGGAGGGGTGGGACCAGAGACGGAGAGAGGAGACTGGGACCCCTCTGCCCTTCCAAGACAGTGAGGCCGGCCCCCTCAGGAGCCGCACATGTGCCTGTAGGGGGCAGAAGAGAGGGCCCAGCCCCACACGTTGGAAGCAAAGGCCCAGATTACCCACGGCCTGCTTTGCGGCCTCACCCAGAACCACGTGCTGTCTATCATCGTCATTAAGAATTTCACACGCTGGGCAACAGTGTTTTCACTGCCAGCACAGAACTGGAGATGACAGAGTCTAAGGCTCAGAGGCCACACGCTGGGCTACGGGCGCCCTGGGAGCCCTGCAGGACACATGCGCCGGGACAGGAGCTTGTGCCCGGACACGGCAGAAGGCGGCCTGGCACTGCTGCGGACGACACAGGGCCAGACCCCTCAGCCAGGACAAGGCGTGGGGGCCTGAGTGGGGTGGGGTGAGAGCACACGGAGAGGTGGAAAATCACCTCAAGTGACAAGAAAACACACAGCAAGTAAAACACTCATGTCTGAGTGTCTCGGAGCTGCCATTAGCCTGCGCACACACATGCACCCGCCCAAAACATCCCAGTCCCTCCCAACACACGTGGCAAATCCCTAGTCCTCAGAGTGCTCGGAGGTGCGGCCGTCGGGAAGCAATGAGGCCACAGGGGTGGGGCCCTTGGGGTGGGACCCCAGAGAGCTCGCTGCCCTGCCCGCGTGAGGACGAAGCCAGGGGAGGGCGCTGCTGCCCTTGACCACCAGCTCTCCCTCTGCCTCTGGAAACCACCAGATCCGCTTCCCTGCAGCGAGGTGCCGGTGGGGCCGAGGGCTGGCCAGGGCCGCAGGGACAGGGAGTCTGGGGGCCTGAGTACTGTGGGCCCTGCAAACCCAGCCCATAAATCCCTCCCATGCACGGTCCTCTCTTCTCTTCCTCCACCCACGGGCTAAACACAAGGACGGGCAGCGCTCGGGACGGAGGAACCGCAGGAGGAGGGGGGCCTCCGGGCCCTGGCATGCAGGGAAATGCCCGACTCGTGTCTGCCTCGAGCAGCCACGGGGGGCCGTGCAAGAAGCAGCACACTACTACCGGCTGGGGTCGTCGGCTGCAGCGCCGGCCTGTCCTCACTGACAGAAGTGGCCTCACTTTGTGACTTACAAAAGCAACACAGTGCGGGCCCCTTGAGAATGCGGGAGAAGGGCTAAACTCGCCGCCTTCCGGCCTCCTCTCCTCGCTGAGCACTCCCGGGCCCGGCCAGCGCAGGAGGCGGGCGCGCACGAGGCAGACGTGCGCAAGCCCGGGAGCACGTCTGAGAGGTCACACTCAGGTTGGTTTTCGGTGACATGCTAGTGTATCGGAGACTCTGTACGCACGGCAGGAAACGGCAGGACAAGCTGCTGCCACAGAGACCACCGTGTTAAAGCTGCGTTGGGAAACAACCAGACAGCAGCCCCAGGGAGCGGCAGGCTGTACGTGCAAGGCCCTTTTGTTGATACAGAAGCAGCACCTGCAAATGGTACAAAATGAGGAAACCCACACAAGGAAAAGCTGTAATTATTCTCCAGCCGTGCCACTGGTGGAGACTGCACACCGCCTTCTGGCATTTTCCCCTGAGAACACGTGTGTGCACACATGTTCATTTTCTGGAAGGGAAAATCACTGCCACGTGATTAGGAAAGGTCAAATCTTTCTCTTTCGGAAGCGAAGCAAGCCAGACATGTGCGGTTCAACTCTTGAGTTAAGGAAACAGGATAAGGTTGTTCCGGAACATGCTGAACTTCTGCAGTAAAATGCTAAGTGACACCGTAGTTAAAGTATCCTCCGTGGTTCACTCTGTAGCGGGAGAACACGTAAGGTTCCCCGCACCCCAATGCCAGCCCTGCACAGGGCAGAGCTCCCAACACAGAGCAGCGGCTGACGGCAGGGACGCGGAAACAGTGCCAAGTTATACTCTGCACTGTTTGTGTCTTCAAGTCCTTGCCCAAGTTATTCAACATTTTCAAAGATAGTACTCTTTATATTTTGCTGCTTTTATTTCTGAAAAATCAATCCCCTCTCTCTGTCCGTTTGGCTGAGGAAAGCCCGACTTTGCAGACTCAGTACTCAAACCGTGAATTCCGCACTTCCGAGTGCCGTGGCTGGTTAGGAGAGCACAAGCCATCCCTTACCAGCAGCCGGACGCTGACGTTGTAAATTCGCCTCTTTTTTCAGGGATCGGCGCCAACCCAGAGGCTGCCCTGTGCTGGGCCCACTCTCCGAGCTCCAGTCTGATGTGCTCTGTCAGCCCGGAGTGCGGAGCAGTCACGCTGAGAACCACGCGGGTTCACCAAATCCTTCTTGCAGGAGCGATGGGAGACCGTTAGTGCCACCTCCGTCATTAGCCAGAGACCAGTGTCACCCAGGAACAGCCACGCCCAACTTCAGGCCAGTCCACCCAAAGCAAAAACCAGCCGAAGGCTGTCGCGCTACTGCCACACACCGCAAGTGACCGCAAGTGTGACATTTCTGTGTTCAGCCCCACGCGTGCCACCCCCTGCGTGTTTTCAGTGTTTGAACTCCACGGGTGTCCGCCCAAGTGACCGCGCGGGTTCTAAAGCCAGCACAAGCCCGGAAAGCTGCACCACGGAGCGACAGTCGACTGCACGCCGCCTGTCGTCGGGAACTCCCCGTCAGTGGCCAGCAGGGGTCCCCGCACACCAATTCCGCGTAAACACAGGGAACTCGGAGCGTGCGTGCAACCCGTTGGGAGACGCTTCCTGACTCCTGTGCCACGTTCTTAAGGGGAACAGAGACCAGGTAACGGGCCCCTCAGCGCACCTGTCGCTCGCTCACCTGGGGGCCCGCTCGGCCCCGCGCAGAGCCCGCGGAGGGGCGCTCCGTCGAGGTGAGCGCGGGACGAGGGTTCCTCCACACACCTCTCACCTGGAGAGCCCGGGGTGGAAACTGCGTCCAGGTGAACTCGCTGTTTCCCGCTGGCGCGGCGCCCCGCCCCCTTCCCGTCGCCGTGGTGACAACCCCGCCACTGCTTAGCACCGCGCCCCTTTCCTCGTTCTCGCGAGAGCCCGGATCCCATCACTTCCGGCTACTCATCACTCCCGAGCTTCACCCGACTTCCGGGTCTTGTCTCAGTTCCAGGCGCCGCCGCACTTCCGCCTCCTCCGGCGCGCCGCGCGGACGCGGGCCCTGTGGGGAGCGGTGCTGCGTCCCGGACAGGAGACGAGCGCTGCCCTCCGGCTGCCGCGCGCGCGCGCGCGCGCCGCCCGCCCCGAGCCGCCACCCGCGCGCGCCGCCCGCCCCGAGCCGCCACCCGCGCGCGCTCTCGCCTCCCCGGCCGGCCCCCTCGTTGTCGTGCCCGCGCTCGGCCGGCCCCTCCGTCCGCCCGGGTCATCGGCGATCTCTCGCAGCCGAGGCTCCGACAGGCGGTGGACGCCTCCGATGTGGCCGCACTACCCGGAGCGCGCTCAGCGCGTCCGGTGGCTTCTTTGCAGGGCGAGCGGGTGAGGCCCCCGCGCCGCCGCCGCCGGCCATGACGGCCGCCTGGAAGGGCGCCCTCTTGCTGCTCCTGGCGGCGCGGGCGGCGTCCTGGGGCGGCGCCTCCGTGGACGAGGACGAGGACGTCCCGGCGGAATGGGTCCTGCTGCACGTCGTCCCGGGCCACGTGGGCGCCGGCAACTACAGCTACCTGCGGCTGAACCACGAGGGCAGGATCGTGCTGGCGATGCGCAGCGTGCGGGGCGACGCGGACCTGTACGTGTCCGACCGCACGCTGCACCCGAGCTTCGACGACTACGAGCTGCAGGCCGCCACCTGCGGCCGCGACGTGGTGGCGGTGCCCGCGCACTTCCAGCGCCCGGTGGGCATCGGCGTGTACGGGCACCCATCCCACCGCAACAGCGAGTTTGAGATGAAGGTGTACCTGGACACCACGGCGCCGCTCAATGACAACTCTCCCACGCATGGCTCGGGCACCGGCGCAGAGTATGCACACGACCCCGAGGGCGCACCCCGGGAGGAGGAGTCCGTGCTCTGGACGGTTCTCATCGGTCTTTTGAAATTGGTCCTTGAAATCCTTTTCTGATGGTTGGAGCGCGCCCTGGATGGTGACCGGGACCCTGTGCGGGTGGCCGCCCTGCGCCCGAATGGGCTCCTCACACCTGGCTGGAAGCTCGCACTTGCTCCAGTTGGAGGATGGGAAATAAAGCCATACAATTGTGTTACCTCAATCATCGCAGAGGAGGAGCAGCAGCCTGTCCGAGATCTGTTTTCCTTCAAAGATTAAAATTCCTGTAAGAGGAGTCAGTACAATAAAATGTTTGAATCCGGTTCTTATTAGTTTGGTGCCAGAAAAGGAAGACTGCGGTGGCTTAGGTTTGTAGGAAAGGAATCAAGAGTAGAGCACCTTCCGGCAGGTGCACAGCTCGCACTGAAAGGTGGATGGCGTTGTAGTTTCACTCATTAGAAATGCTAAAGGCTCGGACCCGAGTCGGGAGTGTGGTGCTGGCTCCACACCTGCGGACCGGACCCAGGCCTCCCGCACCTGCCCATGCGGGAGGACAGCTGTACCCCAGCCGCTCGGTGTCCTCACTCCGGGGTTTTTTCCACCTTTGGCTGCCTAGGGAGATTATTCCGTTACTAAGTAAATTTGTGCTGGTCCCCAGGGTGGGCCAGAAACAACAGAGATTAGGAAAATAACAGTGGGGAGTGGAATCACTTCAAATGAAGTTGCCTAATAGAAGCTGACTTACAGAGAAAAAACCGTCAAGATGAGCCATTTCTCTTCCTGAAATTGGTTCCTAGGGTAAAAGTAGCTTAGAACAAAAATAAATCAACTTGCAGATGCTAAGAATGGTTAATTTCAAAAATCTTTTATTGGCATAGAAATGAGAGTTGTAAATTGGCACCAAGTAATTCACTTAAATGCATATCACAATATCAAGGTCATAAAACTATCCCTCTTTGCTGTTTTTCCCCCTTCTGCCCACTTTCCTGGGTGTTGGGGGGGCTCGCTGACAACAGTCACAAATCCAGCGACCTAGGAGAAAAATTGTTAGTTAATACACAGCGAAACTGACGTAGCACTGAGTTTTAAACCCCTTCAGCTCTCCGTCCTTAGCTATCACTAATGACACTCCTGTGGATCTGTGGTGGGAAGGACAACACCAAGACCCTTAATCAGGGAGAAAACGTAGTGGTGAGGTGATCAGTGTGATTGATGCCACATGACACTCGGGTGGGGGCTGGGCACAGAGATGCTCTGTCTTCAAGTCAGGAGCAAAGATACAGGCCATGAGAAGTGGATTCCTTTCTGAAACCCAAACACCCCTGTGCTCACAGGGGTCAGCAACACAAATGGTTACAAAACCCGTTCCTGAGCTCCACCTGTTTTCAGCCCTTTTCTCAAAGGCTGCTCGCTGGCCGCTGTGCCTCAGCCCCCCTCGGGACCAGGAACCAGGCCCGACTTGGCGCACGGATGCGCCGCGGCACGCACTCGATCTGAGTTCCTGCAGAACCCCAGACCGCTGTTCCGGCTGCTCACTTCTCAGTGACGGACTCCCAGGAAACTCAGTCCTGGGCGTCACTTTATAAAGCATCGTGCAATGTCAGCTCTGCAAGTCACTGCTGATGTTGCACAATCACGTGTGCCGTGTTTCGGCCCAGCTACGGACTGATCCTCCCATGTCGAGTTCACCCACTAGTTCCCTGGAGTGGTCACGCTGCCTCAGTGGCCAGAAATCGGGTCTGGTGTGCGCAGTGGCACAGCAGTCACTGTGTTGCGCTTCTGTACCAACCAACAGCATGGATATAAAATGGAACTGATGCTGTTGCTTTAGCTGTTTCAGTAGATGAGCAGGCTCACTCTTGACCTGAGCTCTGCTTCCACACTCCGACTAGGTCCCTGGCACGGCCTCGTCCTGCAGTTGGGGGCGCAGGCAAAGAGGGCCGGCGGGGCGTGACGCCAGTGGCCACAGCACAGGCCCCGCACGCCCCCCAGAGAGCACGCTGGGGGGCTCCCTTCCCCCCTGGGAGCGGACGGCCGCCTCCGCGGTGTTTACCTGACGGGAGAGCACGGAGGCCCACACAGAAGGTGTGGTAGCCTCGGTCACACACATCACAGAACATCATCTCCTCTTCGTGGTGGGGCTGTCCGCACACAATGCACGTCTTACACTCCATGCATTGCCAGGGGTAGGTCTTAATCATAGAGACAAGCTCCACGGTCATGTCCAGGCAAGAAGGGTGGCCTAAACCGAAACCAGTGTTAGTAGGAGTCACCAGTTCACACGGGAGCTTCCGGCGTAACACGGTACAAGGAGATGCTGGTGGCTTTGTGACTTCTCAAGAGTGGCGACCATGGTTAACCGCCAGAGGGAGAGACGGTGGGAGAAAACGCCAGCCTTCACCCACGCCTTTCCGCCTGCCCTACGACAACCGGTAGTTCTCTGGTGCACGCCTGGCAGAGCGCCACACCGAGGGCGGTCAAAGCGGCAGGAGGGCACGTGGTACTCACCGCTGTTGCCGCACTGGGAGCAGTGTATGAGGGCCTCGGCCTTGCCTCTCCTGCCGGACTCCTTACCCTTCAGACAGATTCCACAGAGGGCATTGGGAGGGGCCTTGGGCTGGAAGGGCAGAAGAGGGCTGTGAATTCGGGCCGGAAGAGCTCGGGGCGGGGGCAACAGGAACTCGCTCGCTGCCCTGCCTCAGCTTCACTCTCGGTACCTGGCTAACGAGGGCCTTTCGGGAAGACATAACTCCACTCTGCTCCCGACACCGTAGCCTGCTAAGCTTCAGATCTCATTTCGAAAATTCGTCCACGGGGACCCCCTGCCAGGACTCCAGGGGAGTGCCCTCCAGGCCACACGTGCGGGGAGAGCTGTGTCATGAGGCGGGGACTAAGCATGACACCCAAACGTACCATTGATCGGAAGAGAACCCAATTAGGCTCATTAGGAAAGAGAGGAGAGTTTTAAGCAGCTTATCTACCGGTTTTGTTTACGCCGATATTTTCCAGAGTTGTAAAACCAGATCCACAAAATCTAAGTTACAACACCGAGGTTTTACCACATTTAACTGAGAGACGGCCCATGCAGAGGTGCACCCGTGTCTGTGGGAAACCGGGAGGGTTATTCCCTCTGTGTGCCCAGCACCTTCATGAGAGCCTGTGCTCACGGAGAAAGCATTCAGTATGAGACGCCACTCAGGGTTTTCAGACAAAAAAAAATTGTCCCTTAAAAAAATAGAGACGCCCTTACATTTTGAGCACCATCCATCTTTCATATTAAAAACATGTCAATCCAATGACGGCTTTAAAAAAACATGGGCAACACGTGGAGAAGACAGCGGAAGGGGTCGCTGCGCCTGCAGTCGCCAGGACGGGCGTGCGTGCACGCAGTGTGGCCTCAGCCCTGGCGGAACGCTGCCCGCCCGGCTCTGCGCACACGGACGTCACCGACAGAGCACGGAGGGAGCACGGCCCAGCGTGAGACGGGGCCAGGGGCCCACACGTGTGGACAGAGAGAAGAGTCAGTCTGAGCAGAGTTACTGAAGTTCTCTCTCGCGCCAGCCGAGCAACACGTGGCCCTCGTGGCCCTGTCCTCGGCGACGGGGCTGCCGAGGAGCCCGCGCGAAGCCCCAGCTCCGCAGCGTCCGGCTGCCGCCGCCGCGACCTGGGGCCTGAACACCTTGTTCTCAATTCCTCCAGCGCTTCCACTTGCTCCGTTGTCTTTCTTTGCAAAAGATGACAGAGGCGTTCAAAAATAATTTTTGGCTTATTTATTTTAAAAAGTCAACCTTATACATAAATATAATAAAAACATTAACTCTAAACAGTCACAAACATCTCTACAAAACAATAAATATCGTGAAGTCAGACATACATATAAAACTGCACATGAGCTAACCTACACCTCCCGCGTGTGCGCCTCCCGAGTGTGCCCCCCCGCCCACCGCAGCAGGGCCTGGAGCGCTGCCCGTCTGCTGCCCCCGGGACGTGCTAATAAGCGTGAGGTCCCCCTGTCTCCTCCACCTCAGTAACGACAGCTAGGAAGTGCACTTCTGGGATCCAAGCTCTACTCAGTTACGCTAGGTCTGCAACTGCCAGGACGCGCAGCAGGAAGCTGCCCTCCGTCCACCGAAGTGAGAAAGGGCCACCTGTGGGCTGCGCGGCCTGTGCCGAGGGTGAAGGGCATCTATGTAATACTTGCGCTTGAAGGCAGATACTGGCACACTAAGTGCTCGTATCATCTCCCGCTAAAATCAGGAAAGCAACCACACGATATTAAGTCCTAAAAAGAACTCCTCGTAGGAGATCCTTTACAAAAATCAAAAGGAGTAAAACAGAACGCTAGTCATTCACATTCTAGATCAATTCAAGCTCCACAATCATTAAAATGTGCAGGAGACACCTGCGACAAAAGGGACACCGAGGAAATTCCAGGTTTAACTTCTAAGCTTAAAAGCACGTTTTGTTAAACCGCTTACAATTTTCCTTACCCAATATTCTTCATCTTGATGAAAACAAGGATGGGGGGAGGGCGAAGGGAGGGGGAGAGAGAGAAGGGGGCAGAGAGAGGTGGAGGGGGGGAGCGTGTGGACGGACGCCCTTCGGCCCAGCGCTGCCTGAGGTGCGGACAGGGCCCCTGTCCGCACCGGGACCAGGCACAGCGGAGGGCAGCCGAGGGCTGGGAAGCTAGTCTCGGTGTGCTGCAGACTTGGGGGAGGGGGTCGAGAAGTGTGTGCAGAGGCCCCCGGGGACCGATGCGCAGAGCCCTAGGCGTGTCTGACCGAGACGGTCAAGTCCACCTGAAAAGCCACACGTCACCGTCTCACTGCCGCCAAGGAGACAGCACTTGCCCATGGGTTCTGAGCGTCACAGATAAAAGGTTCACGGTTCACGACACTCGTTCTCCTGCCTAAAAACCAGCCACTGACCGGGGAGGCGTCCGTCCGTGGCAGCACAAACACAGGGGACCCCGACGACTGCGCGCCCACCTCAGGTTAATGTAACCTAAACTCCGCCCCACACGACAGCAGACACGTCGTCACGTTCCTTGACCCCCGTGTCCCGGAACATCCACGCCCACGGCCGTCAGCCTGGACTCCCTAACGTTGAGGCACATCACGGCTTATCGACACTTTTCGTGGAGGTCAGCTGTTAGCGAGCACGTCCACATTATCGCAGGGAGTCTGCCTGCGGGCCGCCCCGGCTGCGAAGCGCCCACACGTCCCCCGCACACGGGCGCCCTGCAGCCGCCGCCACCTTCCCCGTGGGGGCCGCCGCCGGGGCGGAGGCTCTCCGCTCCCAGCCCGACCGACCGAACCGTCTC